ATTCAATTTTTTAGGATTAAACCTTTCTTAAACATTTGGTTCGAATTGGGTCAAATTTTTGAAAGCACAATATTAAGTTTGATTAGTTTTAAGTTAATGATAATTTTTTTATCTGACCCATTAAAATAATATAATTATCTCTTATATATTTGTAGATACATGTAATATATATATATATATTATTGATGAGAATAATTTAGTCTCGGCGACTTCTAGCGGTTTATCTCCTCTGATTTGAATGAAAAGTTACAACTAGTGAGGTAACAATCATTGACCGATGTTTCTCTGTGAGAGATAATAGCATGAGGGGTAAATTGGAGTGAGGAAGGAGAAGAAAGTGGAAAAACCTTATTCTCAATTGTGGTTGTGATGTATTTATAGTGATCCTAGCTGATGGTATCAAACATAGGGTTATTATGATTACTCGTAAGTTAGCATTCTAAATAGATATAGTTATCAGATCTCGAATTTTACTTTGCTAGATAATGTGGGTCTATTAGAGGTATAGTCTATGCATTGTAGTTGGCTCAGAGGCTATGATACTATTATGCCTGGAGCATATAGATTGTTTGGATGCTTGATAAGCGAACTAAACTATTTGCATGTCTCAACTGACGAAGAGTTTACAACTTTAAGAGGTGACATTCGAAGGTATAATAAGTTGTCCCCCTTAATCGAGGGAATACAACAAAGTGACTTGATTCGATACTTATGGTGAAAAATACAATGATCATCTCTCAATTTTGTTCAAGAGCGGAGGCATCTCAACGTTCTTATTCTCAGGATAGAGACAACACATACTATTAATAGGAATAATTTGGACTTATCGGTTGTTAGCAGCGCACCTGTTCTGATTTGGGAGGAGAGCAAGAACGAAATCTAATATATGATGATAAGATATATTTACCATGATGACATACGAGTAGTTATAATGACTACATGCTTGATACCATCAGGAAAAATCACTATAAATACCTTTTAATCACAATTGAGAAGAGGGGTTTTCCACTTTTTTCTCATTCCTCACTCGTATCTTCTTCGATATGCTCTTATCTCTCTCGTAATGAAACACCAGTTAACGACCATTATCTTACCGTCCAAACTAAAAGGGATAAACCGATAACGGCCAATGAGACCAAATTGTTCACATCAATGTATAGGTTATGATCCACTTAGACAATGTAAAACTTTTTAATTTTATACAGATTTGGGATCATTGGATGAATGAAAATATATAGCTGAGATTGACTCCTTATTTTTTGTCTATTGAATATGTTTATCATTTCCTACTATTAATCTCAACCATATTTTTTCACTCACTTAACCGTCATAAATCTGTGTAAAACTAAAAGAATTTTACATTGTGTAACATGATTATATATATGGAAAACAATCTTATTACACAATGTAAAACTCTTTTAGTTATACAGATTTAGGACCGTTGGATGAATGAAAATAGATGACCGAGATTAATAGTATGAAATGACTCATGAGAATATATTCATTGAAAAAAAACAAGAAGTTAATTTCAACCATCTATTTTCGTTAATATAACGATCATAAATCTGTGTAAAACTAAAAGAGTTTCACATTATGTAAGTGGATTCTAACCATATATGTATTGAGACGAAACAATTTTTTATTCAAAAAATAAATTGATTTTTAAATTAAGTGAAACCTCCATAAATCTGAATCGAATCAGATGATAAATGAAAAGATAAAATATTCAAATCGACGAAAACCCGATCTAATTTATGCTAATCATACATGTACGTCGATGAGAAATCCAATTGCATAGTGTCCTCATCTATATGAAATCATAATGATAAAAAATGATTAAACTATCTCAAAACAGAAACCAATTTAGTTAACTCTGATAAAAAAATGGTCTCAAAATTCCTACATATTACTATCGTAATAATTTAATTTGTGCTCGTATTAACACATATTTTTAATGTATAGCATATGCATTTTTTAAAAACAAAATTAATACATTTTCCTTGTTATTTTTATCTTATTATTTTTTAATTTTGTCATTTTGGGCCTCGTTATTTTCAAGGCTCTTACTTCGTTTCCATTATCTATAGAAGGTTATTGGAGTCAGATAAATCATCGACAATTGATGCAGACCTTATCTAATTTTTTTAGTTATTATCCAATAACTGAGACTGAGAAAAGGCATTATCATCTACTTACGATTTTGTTATTCATGTGAAAATCACAATAGACCCCTAAATATTTTTTTACAACCCATCTTTCCTTAACCATTTTAAAAAAATAAATTTATCTTAACCAGATATCAACTCAATTAAAAATCATAAAAACTTGTAGACATTCATTTTCGCCCAGAGTTTTTTTTATTTGATTATATATATATATATATATATATATATATATATATATATATATATATATATATATATATATATATATATGTGTGTGTGTGTGTGTGTGTAGTAATATAGTTTGTGAAAATGTTTTTGACAAAATATAATATATAATTTTCAGAAAATGATTTTCGAAAATTTATATATTATATAATTTTTGAAAATATTTTTAAAATACATATATAATATTTTAGTTTTGAAAACATTTATATATTATATAGTTTTTAAAACATTTTTAAAAATTATATAATATATGGTTTTCAAAACATTTTTGAAAAAATTATATAATATATAATTTTAAAAACATTTTTTGAAAACTTATATAATATTTTTTTTAAATCATTTTTGAAAACTTTTTAAAGTATAATAAATAGTTAAAAAATGTTTTTGAAATATATGTTATATAGGTTATATTATTATTAGTATTGTATTTATTATTATTATTATTATTATTATTATTATTATTTTGTTTACTTTTCATTTTATTTCATTTTGTCCAGGGTCTATATGTCCAAAACGGTCAAGAGTCCAAGTCACGAACAAGGCCTGAACTAGCCCAAACAGTTAGGGTTTTCATGCTTGGGACCAGTGCCACTCAACATGTAACCGTCAGATCGAGATGGGATCAATGGCCAGGATTACAAAGCAACTAGGGTTTGTCTAACCCTTAAATGCGCAGCCAGATCCAGACCGTTGGATCTGACCCAATCCAACGGTCGAGATCAAATCCGGGAAGATTCCAGAAGCCTGAAAGCCACTAACGGCAGTATGATTCAACACCGAGATTTCCAGCCAAGGAAATCGGGACTAACCCATCCCGAAGTCCCCGGCCAACGACGAACATTACCATGATAATCGGAACCGATGAACGTCGGTGGTGGGTATAAATAACCCACCACAAATCGGACCAAAAGGGGGGAAAAATAATCAAGCCATCACCACCACGAAAACACCACTAGAGAACTCATAAGAGAAAACACAGTACACACGAGCCACAGAACCGAGGCCAAAACATCGGTCTACAATCGAGCATAACACAAGAACAATACACGAGAAACCATCTTAAGCCGAAACATCACAACACAGAAAACCAAAACACCGAACCAAAGCCAAGCACAACAACCCACGAAATCCAAAAAACCCACACAAGCCTATACTACACATCGCACAAAAAAATAGAAATACAAGTCACAAAGCAAACCACTCGCACAAGAGGTGAGGCTTCGGTCGTGGTGCTCGTCGGAAGAGGAGGGGTCACCGGGAATACGAACGGTTTAAGGGTAAAAATCGAAACTTTACACCTAGATCCACGCTGGTAGGGGTAAGTTTTGGTGTTTTAGGTCTCGGGTTTGGGTGTACGGGGTTAGAGGGAGTATTTTGCTAAGGTTCAGTTTGTTCGGTCGCCGGCAGCCGGGGTGTAGGCGGGCGGTCGTTGGGTTTCGGTCGACCATTGGCCGAGGAAGGCTAGCTGGGAGTATTCTCTCGTTTGAGAGATGACACTTCTGAGAAAATGAGAGAAATGAAGCATAATGGGGCTCATTTGGGCATTTATATACGGAGGACTAGAGTGCAAATAGAGGATTTTTAAATCCTCTCCGTGGTCCCTTTAACTTTGAGTCTCTTTACAATTCAGTCACTGTATGTAATTTGGCCTTATAATTTTCAATCTTATCAATTTGATCATGGTTCATATTTTTATATTTTACGAATTAACCCCCTAATTTTTTTCCTATTGCAGTTCACCTTTAGAATTCATTTCAGCCCATAAATTTCAATCTCATTCAATTTGATCCTTTTGTTGTTTTTATTTATCTTTTGTTTTCATCATAGGTATTATATTATTTATTTATTTATTTTATTTTTCTTCTAACTCATTTTTTTGTTCTCTTTAATATTTTTTTTTATTTATTTATTTAACATTTATTTTTATTATTATTTAGTTTTTTACTAACATTTTTTGTTTTTATAGAAGTACTCCAATCGATCAAAGGTAATTAATTCGAATCGAATATTTCAAATTTTAATTTTAATTTTTTTGCAACTAAGACAATCGACAAATTAATTGATACCGAAAGGGCGGTTCAAGGGTGTTAATCCTTCATTGACCGTAACCGACTTTTGAACTCGACATGTCTCTGGTGCAACGCAGATCATGTAAAAAATAGGGTATCCGATCAACCCATTTGTTTTAAAATAAATGATCGGTGGCGACTCTAATCCTATTCATTTCAAGTCGAAGCCCAATTCCGGGACCCAACCGAAAGGCGGTTACGACAAAACTATTTTAATAATAATAAATACTTTTTTTATTAAAAATTTAAATAAAATAGAACTATTTGGAAATTGAACATAAAACTATAGATTTATATATAGATCTTTATCTGAATAAAATTTTATAAATAAATTTAAATATTTTTAAAATATATATATAATAAATTTTAATATAAATATTAATATTATACGATCAAATGAAATTTTTATCGAGACACAGATCGACCGAACTAACTATAGCGTAATGAACTTCTAACTCCACACGTGGAAGCCAACAAAGCATGACACCGATGCTAATTAATAACACCACGAAATATTAACCAATGTATTCGTCGCTTTAAAAATCATAGCTTCGAAATCCATCGCCTCTCCAAAGCCAAACTCTTCTCTTTCGCCACGCCGGCGTATCATGGCTTTAATCACCCGAACCACAGCCAATCGACTCCCCCACCTGCTCTACGCTCAGCGTGCCCTCTCTATTCACACCACTACCCCTTCTCTGTCCTCCTCCGCCACGCCATCTACATACGCCCGCCCTTCTCCGCCGTCAACCTCTGGCCCTCCCACCGGGCTCTCTAAGCCTGCCGAATACGTGATCTCCAAGGTCGATGACCTCTTGAACTGGGCCCGTCGTGGGTCCATCTGGCCCATGACCTTCGGTCTCGCTTGCTGTGCGGTCGAAATGATGCACACCGGCGCTGCTCGCTACGACTTCGATCGCTTCGGTGTCATTTTCAGGCCCAGCCCTCGCCAATCCGATTGCATGATTGTTGCCGGCACCCTTACCAACAAAATGGCCCCTGCTCTCCGCAAGTATGATTTAATTTCATTTCCTAGGGTTTCGCTAAGATATTTAATTTAATAATCCTTTATTTTGATCTCTATTTTATTTAATTTAGCTAGTTCTTTTTTAGGGTCATTATATGCAGGTATAATTGCAAAATTTAATTCGTGAATCCTTTATTTGATCTCTGTCAAGGGCATATTTATAACTTGATTTGTGGCTGAATTCCTTTGATTTAATATGGGAGCAATTTTCAAATAATGAATATAATTATTTCTCTGAATTTGATGGGTTTTTTTTGGAGTATTTGATTAGTTTATTTTGAACTGAAAGCTACCCGGGGCTGTTTCTTATTAAACATTATGCACTTTTCATGCTCCCTTATATGAGAAACATTGTGGTTCGGTACACAAATTGTGAAGGTTTTATATATATATTGTCTATTCAACATATCGGTTTCCTTCTGATTTTGGGTGAATTTTGAAAGTTAAAAACATAAAGAACTATGGTTGCCATCATTTTCTTTCGGAAATCTTTTTATGCCATTAGCTTGGTGTGTAAAACCTGAGCTCAAGCTTGCGTGGCCCTGGGTAAATTTGTGTGATTTTACCAGGACATGGAGTGTTATGAAGAAGATCCATAGTTTTTCGAATATATTAATACATGTCAAGGTTTGTTATTGTTAGAGTGAGATGGCTTATTTGGCTTGTAATTTAGTCTCATAAGGACAATATGCTTAATGTGTGATGGTGAATCTAGAGTGGGATGTTCATGAGAAGTTTTGTTTTTTAATGTGACATGACATTTTTATTTTTTTTCTCCGTGTTTGTGCGAAACAAATGCAACCATAATGCTTTTACCCTTGCTGATATCTCACCCTCTGCCTTGAATTTAATGATTCTTAGTAGCTTTTCCCAAATCTTGTTGCTTGGCTTGGGGATTCTCTGTAATAGTGTGAATGACGACTTGGCAAAGACTCAATACCATGTCTATTCTACTTCTTCCTCCTTTCCTTAATATTTCCCTTTTGTTTTCCCAATCTTCAGTTAATACAGTTCTGATTTGACAATGGTATTGTGATCTTTGCAGGGTATACGACCAAATGCCTGAGCCAAGGTGGGTTATTTCCATGGGAAGCTGTGCAAATGGAGGTGGATACTACCACTACTCATACTCGGTTGTGAGAGGTTGTGATAGAATTGTCCCCGTTGACATCTATGTTCCCGGTTGTCCACCCACCGCAGAGGCATTACTGTATGGAGTTCTTCAATTGCAGAAGAAGATCAACAGGCGCAAGGATTTCCTCCACTGGTGGTCCAAGTAAGGATATCATGAGCTGTTTCCGGGATATTTGCAAAGAGTATGCAGTGTGAAGGACTATTAAATAAATCAATACTCTAGTGAAATGCCATGTAGAAGCTTTAGAACATAAAAGTCAATGAGGTTTCTATTTCTTGTATGGTGACTATACTTCATGTAATAATTGGAACTTCAGTTTCCTTGGACCGATCATCATGATTTTGTTCAGAGGATGTTTTATTTGCTGTTTTGAATTTAAATGGGTATGCAATTTGAATAATTTCATTTGTTTTCTTGTGGTATGTATCTGGGATTTGATGCTTTTTCCCGAAGAATATCGCCTTTTGAGTTCTGACCTGATAGGTCTTCATACGAAACAGGAACCCTAATCCTGCCATGAACAGATTTCCGTGCTCCTGTGGCACCAAAATGTTCTTGCAGGATTTGTGGAAGCAGTTGAGAATCTTCTGCAACACTTGCCGAAGTTACAATATTCGGCTTGCAACAAGTCTCTCGAGAAGAATTCCCTTTGTTCCGTGCCGGTGCTCGTCCAACATTTTGATGCCTGAACTGCTTCTGCAAAATTGTAATTGCCATAACTCACGTATTCAGTACTATACCATTCGCTGTTGATAGGTTCCGGACAACATTATTTAGACACCTCACTGCAGGATGAAGTAGAAGTTCTTGTGCATATTCATGTTTATCAACTGATGAAACGGAAAAAGAATAGTACTTGAGTCTTGATATGCTCATCAATACACACCTAAAAATCCTTGGTTTTCTTCATTATTTCTCGATAAGCAGCGGGTTCTCGCACTTATACGATATTCCGCAATACGCCACCACCTGTCCGACAACGTTTTCTGTCAGCAGTTATCTGTCCGCCACTAGATTGAACTGCATCCACCTGGAACCGTCGGGTTTCATCATACAATCCCGGTGGAAAAACAACAGGGAACACGAATGCCAGAACGAAAAGATAAAAGAAAGAGAGTGGCAAACAGAGCATGGCAAAAACTATACAATCAAACCAACCAAATGTACAACAGATTTGATAATGAAAGTTCTGGTTGTTTTTAACCGGTTTTTTCTGAGTTTGCTTTTCTTTCTTTAGAGTCTCATCACAATTTTCTTTATTCTAATTATATGGATTGATTAAACTGTTGAACTTAGGGAAAGATATTGGATTCGAATTTGACAGATTCTATTTCGAATCGATATAAGATCATTTTTTAAAAAGGAACCAAGTTCGGATCGGACTAAGTTAAGTTTAGAGTGAAAAATCTCAGAGTTAATACGTTTTTATTTTATTGAATAAAAATGAGAAGTGTCTGTATGTCTTGCCGGGTCTAGTTTGGCTAGATTAAGTTTTTGTCTAAAAAATCAGGCTGAGTTTTAAATATGTAGAGTTTCTCTAAAGTCACGTTGTGCTTAAATAGTCGAATTATAAACTTTTTACTTCAACCAACTAGTCCGATTAAAACCTAATAAATCCAACATAATTGAACACAAAGTGATCATCAAAACTCAAAATAATCCAAATTAATAATTTGTTAAATTTTTATGACTTGTGTTCCCGTCCCTATCTACAAAACTTGAACCTCGAACATGAATAACCCAAATATATAATAATTTTGTCTAAAAATGCTTAAAATTCGAGCTCGAATAATTTAAATTCAAAATTAATTTGAATCCAATATTAATTCTAACCTCAAATTAACCTAAAGTAAAAACTACCTAATCCAACTGTTATAAACAAGTCTTTCTCTCATCACAACCGTCAATTGTAAACAACTCCCAATGACCAGATCGACGGTCCAGATGCATTCACACGTCTCCTATCAAAATCTTCTTAGATAAATATCTCCGGGCACCGTTACGTTTTCCTTGACTTTCTATATTAGCTGCAACAATCTTGAATTTTGCATAATCATCAAAATCATGACAGCGATCGCCTCTGGTGTGATTCTAATCTTGTTTTCGTTGACCGGAATTGTCTCGGCCGGAAGAGATGATACCGGCGACGTACTCAGGTTACCGTCGGAAGCTTATAAGTTCTTCCAAGGAGGCGACAAAGATGAAACTGAGGGCACCAGATGGGCGATCTTGATTGCTGGATCTAATGGGTATTGGAATTACAGGCATCAGGTCGTAAATTCTTCCCGAAATCTCAACTTTTTTTTGGGTTTTCTTCTCTCTCTCTCTGACATGAATTATGAAAAATATTTATGATCATGTTTGAATGCCCACTGCGCTTCAATTAAGTTTAATTTTTTTGGGAAACTTTATGATGAATTTATTGCTTTTTGCTTCGTATGATGAATTTAGGTGCTAGAAGTATTTGAACTTTTGAGAAAATTAATTAAGTCTTCGAATTCCTTTTACATCCAATTAAATTATTATACTTTGAAATCGAACAATTCATCTCTTTAAATAATATTGATCATTAAGTCATTGAATTCCTCAAATGGTATTTTCATAAATTTGTTAATTTTTAAATAAAACATTTAAAATTTTCTTAAAAGAAATATGCAAAATTATGATACAACTGTAGTGTGTGATTCCCAATAAAAAAACGATAATACTTCACCGTCAAAATTTATTAAACGACTTAATAGATTCAATTACGCAGTTCATGTGTTTAATTGATTTAATTTTCATTGAAAATAGTGCAGGGGCTTAATTGATTATTTTTAGAAGTTTGAGGACTCCTTTATTTTTTTTCATAGAGATGTTAATTTTTATATGTTTCAGGCTGATGTTTGCCACGCTTATCAACTGCTGAGAAAGGGTGGTCTGAAAGAGGAAAATATAATTGTTTTTATGTATGATGACATTGCCTTCAATGAAGAAAACCCTAGACAAGGAATCATTATTAACAGTCCCCATGGCAATGATGTTTATAAGGGAGTTCCAAGGGTCTGTTCTTTTTCCCTGGTAAGATTATAAATTGTTACATTCCCTAATTTGTGTTCTTTTGCAGGATTACACCGGAGAAAATGTTACTGTTAACAACTTTTTTGCTGCTATTCTTGGAAACAAATCCGCTATCACTGGTGGTAGTGGCAAAGTTGTAGATAGTGGCCCCAATGATCATATTTTCATTTTTTACTCTGACCATGGAGGTCCTGGTATTCTTGGTTAGTTATCTTTAGCTTGCTCCTTAGCGTCATAGCTATTACTTCGAATTCTAGTATGTTTTTCGGCTTGAAACTTAATATCGGTTTGGAGAGTTGCTAATGAATGATCCGTCCATTGTGTGTTAATCCAGGAATGCCTAGCGTACCTTATCTTTTTGCTGATGATTTAATTGATGTTTTAAAGAAAAAGCATGCTTTGGGAACCTATAAAAGCTTGGTAATTTTTTTTCGTTTTAATATCAATCGGTTTCCGGATGCGTTATTCATCAGTTTATCACCATTTTTAGTGTCCTGTCTGCATGTAACTTTGTAGGTGTTCTATCTTGAAGCTTGTGAGTCTGGAAGTATCTTTGAGGGTCTTCTTCCAGAGGGTTTGAATATCTATGCAACGACAGCGTCAAATGCAGTTGAGAGTAGCTGGGGAACATATTGTCCAGGAGAGTACCCAAGTCCTCCCCCCGAGTACGAAACCTGCTTGGGAGACTTGTACAGTGTGGCTTGGATGGAGGACAGGTACGTATAAGTCCTTTTCATTTGCGCTTTAGAACATTGAAGCAGCGACATTTTTGAAGTTGAAGCTTATTGCTTATGTCTGTTTTTGAAAAATTTCCAAAAGTTGTACATAAATTAAAATCTTTATTAGATTCCGTGGCACCACCTTACTGAAGTTGAGAATTTGGTAAACAAATATAGGACGGAGGCAAAGCGGGAAAATATATTCTTCTTCTTATCGTACCACCGTATGGATTAAATTTAGGAAACCTTTTAAGGCTGAGGAATTGGCTTTTATTTTTTTCTGTTGAGTTACATCTCTTGGCATGTTCTGGTTTTTTGTTGAGCAGTGACATGCATAATTTGCGGACGGAGACTTTGCACCAGCAATATGAACTCGTAAGGCCTTTTTAAAATCTGCATTTGCTTAACACCTATGAGATCCGTCGTAAAAGTTCACGTCGCTGGCTTTTACAGGTGAAAAAGAGGACTAGCAATGGCAATACAGCATATGGCTCTCATGTCATGCAATTTGGTGATATAGGTATTAGCAGGGATCATCTCTTAGCATACTTCGGTACAAATCCTGCAAACGATAACTTCACATTTGTTGACAAGAACTCCTTGGTGCCACCTACAAAAGCTGTTAATCAACGCGATGCTGATCTTGTCCATTTCTGGTATAAGGTTTGTCTCTAATTTCTCTTGATTCGTTTTTGAACACACTAATTGATTGTTCCCATCAATTTTTAAATCTAATGAGGCACCATAATATATATATGTGTGTGTGTGTGCATACATAGATATAGGCTTTCTGTTTCTTTCTGATGCTCTTAGTGTGAATAACTTCAAGTCTCTAAGATATAAACACTTTGTTCCGTACATTTGAAAGCCGAATATACTAGTTTTCAGTTTCCATCTCACTCGAGCTATATTCGAACCCATCGTGCAGTATCACAAGGCACCTGATGGCTCGGCTAGGAAGGTTGAAGCCCAAAAGCAGTTTATGGAAGCCATGTCTCATAGGATGCATATAGATGATAGTATTAAACTCATTGGCAAGCTGTTATTTGGAATCGAAAGAGGACCGGAAGTTCTGAACACTGTTCGGCCTGCTGGTCAACCTCTTGTTGACGACTGGAAATGCCTCAAGAAAATGGTAAAAGATCTTGATTCTCGGCCTCTCTTCCATTGTTTTTTTACGGTATTCCAACATATAAAGATTCTCTGTTCATCGACACAGGTGAGAACCTTCGAGACCGATTGCGGATCACTGTCTCAGTACGGGATGAAACACATGCGTTCCCTTGCGAACATCTGCAATGCTGGGATACAGCCGGAAAAGATGGCCGAGGCATCAGCACAAGCTTGTGTCAGCATTCCTTCGGGACATTGGGGCTCCCTTGAGAAAGGGTTCAGTGCATAAAATGTAGCAGAATTGGCAAGCGTCAACTTTGATGATGTTGTACTGTATGCCGTAATGTATTTTCCTATGTACTTATTGTCCGAAGCTCCTTGAAATTTGATGATTATTCATGTGATTGCTTAATCTAAAGTAAATATAATTAAATTAATCACTTGTTTTAAATATATTCTTCGTCAAATTTAAATTATCACTATTCACAATTGTTCGAATATTATTATATCAAAATCATTTTTTATTCGAATTTGAATTATCTTACAAGCACAAGTACCTCATTTATAGCCCTAATCTCAATGATTGCTTCCATTTGTTTCTAAAACCCCGATTAAGCTACCGGAAATAAATTAGGGATGGGTATGGGTCGATAAAACAATAACTTAATTATAAAGAGAATATTATTGTAATTATCATTAAATATTATAAGAATTATATTATTATTTCAGGTTAGATAAAAAATATTCACTCTAAATCTATATCTAAATTTAAATCCGATTTAATATTATCCTTAAAAAATCTAATTGAATCTATTTTTTAAATAACCTTATAAAATTGAGTTGAATCATAATTCGGTCGAGTCTAAGGCTTAGTTTGTTTTCACTGTGCAACCTCTTCAGACCTCTTATGTATGCGTCGCGCAGACCACGCGCAGACATTAGGCTTCGCAGACCGTTTGTTTTTTAGAAGACAGAAGCTCTTCTAACGTCTGCGCGAGTTCTTCTTGTGCAGACATGGTTTTATGTCTTCAAAGGTCTTCAAACCTCTTCAAGAATAATTATAAAATATGGTTATTTATTAAAATAATTTTAAATAATTTAATAAGGTTAATTATTTTAAAATAATTTATTTTAAAATAATTTATTTTAAAATAATTTATTTTAAAATAATTTATTATAAAATATGGATTGATTTATTTTAAAATAATTTATTTTAAATAATTTATTAGTATAGATTTATTTATTTTAAAATATGGATTGATTTATTTTAAATAATTTATTAGTATAAATTGATTTATTTTAAAATATGGATTGATTTATTTTAAATAATTTATTAGTATGGATTGATTTATTTTAAAATATTGATTAATATATTATTGTAGTTGTATAGATTGATTTATTTTAAATAATTTATTAGTATGGATTGATTTATTTTAAAATATGGATTGATTTATTTTAAATAATTTATTAGTATGAATTGATTTATTTTAAATAATTTATTAGTATGGATTGATTTATTTTAAAATATGGATTGATTTATTATTGTATTTGCATGGATTGATTTATTTTAAATAATTTATTAGTATGGTATGATTTATTTTAAATAATTTATTAGTATGAATTGATTTATTTTAAAATATGGATTGATTTATTATTGTAGTTGTATGGATTGATTTATTTTAAATAATTTATTAGTATGGATTGATTTATTTTAAAATATGGATTGATTTATTTTAAATAATTTATTATTGTAGTTATATTGATTATTTAAATTTTAGTATTATAAAACTAAAATTATTTAAATCTCAATATTGCAAAACTCTTTTAAGTTTAAAAAATCAATTTATTCATATTTCAGTTCATTTTAACAATATGCAGACTTTAAAAAATAAACAATCTTATTCTTGCAGAATGCATACTTTTGATCTATATCTTTTACTACAAATATCTACAAATATAATCTACAAACTACATACCTTTTACCTTTAGAAAAAACAAACAACACTTAAATCTATACTATCCGTAAATCAAACTGCTCAATCACTATCTGCTGCCACATGGTATAGTGAACCAATGTCAAAGATGGGCACAAAATTTCAAAAATAAAGTTGGGAAGGCGCGATTACCTATTGATTCAGAAGTCAGCCATGAATTACTAAATTGCCCTACAAGAGTCAAGTTGAGATATTCGGGTCGGGGGGACCCGTCTTACATTTAACCATGGTTAGTTAACCAACAATAGTAAACTTGTTGCGCGGTTGTGCTAAGCACTACCTCACCCGGCAGCGACAAAATTAAAATAGAACAAAAAAGTTGTGAAAAAAATATTAGGAAAAATAATAAAATAATTATTCATGCGTTGTTTGAAGATTCCGCTAGATCTACTAACGCCGTGAGTTAAAGTTGAAGGGTAGTAAGGGACAAGTATTTGGTCAAATTGCATACAAGGTCCTTCTACTGTGAATCTTTGATGGACTAATCCTTTTCTTTTTAAAAATGTGTGTTTTTCTTTTTCGAGTTTTAACTATTTCAATATTATCTTTATCAAATAATAGGCACTTAGGTTTTAATCTTATGATGAAAGGACACATATATTGATTTTTTTAAAATTATAAAATTCTATTAAATTAGAATAAGGGCAAAGTATATCAAAGGTCACCAAATTATGTTAAAATGATTAGTTTCATCATTAAAATTTTAAAATTACAAAATAAGAATTGTAACGTCATAATAGTTGTAAAAACTGATAAATTTGATGAATATCTTATAAAATTTTATCAATTTTAATGATAATTCTATTTCCATAACTTTTTTATAATGTATATTCTTTAGTGAGATTAATTTTTTTATATTATCTTTATAAAATAATTAGACATATAGATTTTAATCTTGTGATGAAATGATAGATATATTGATTTTTTTTTGTAAAACTGAAAAATTCTATAAAAACATAATAAAAGTAAAGTATACTAGATATAATTAAATTATACTTAAATAATCATTTTCTCCTAATTTTGTAAAAAATTACAAAATAATAATTGATTGTATTGATTATTACATAATTTTTGAAAATTCAGTAACCAAAATGATCATTCGAAAATAGTTCAGTCACCTTTGGTGTACTGTAAGTCTGTAACCTTATAATGATTAGACTGAATCGAAAAAACCATATAATACAAGACTTTCTGTACAGTTTGACACAAGAAAATCCCGTAACGAGAATCATAAGATAGACTGAGTTAACGGTTCAAATTTAGGGTATGTGATAAGAACCGTTGGATCAAAGATGAACGGATTGGATATCTCGGTGATGAAACTTTTGGTGGTGTAACGGAGGGTGAGAAAGAGGTATAAAGATTGGGGTCTTCGTAAGGGAGAGAGAGTATTTCGTTTTTATGATTTCTTTGTATAACTTCTTTTCCTTCTTCTTTGTCTTTGCTAATTTGCTTCTACTTTATTTTTCTTCTTCTTTCTCGTGAACCAAACAGAAAATTCCTGAGGGAAAAAAAAGAAAGAAAAAATTAAAAGCTGACGTGAATTTATAAATATATGTTGAGGATCTAAAAGCGAGCGAAACAAAGAGAGACGGCGGAGACGAGAAATTGTTGGGTGTGTATGATTTGAGAGCGGAGATTGTGTTTCTATTTTGATTTGTTCTGATGAATTCTCGTTGTCTATTTCCAATGGATAATTTTATTTTCTTTTTTATGCAGATACAATCGAAGAGGTTGGAGGAAAGTTTTTGCAGGTTCTGGAAACTAATCGTGAAGATTTCTTTTGTTTTTGTTCAAGTTTTTTGAGAATCCGTAAGAAAAGAAGCCTGTGAACGAAGTTCAAGAGATTTGCAGCTACCGCCATGTTCAATTCTTCTCTGGAAATAATTTTGTTTGATTTTTGTTTGGCAGATACATTTGGAAGATTACAGAGCTGTTTTCTGGAGAAATTTGGACTGAATTCATCTGCGGATAAGCAGATCAATTGCTGACATATTCAAAGGATTTAGAATCTTGTATCACAAGAAAGTGCGGAGAATAGGCTGCAAATGTCATTATTTTGTTGAAATACAAAGTAAATTTGTGTTCATAACCATAAGACTGAAGCAAAGTTGTAACGGCAAGGCTGAGTGATTTCAGGTATGAGATAAGATCAGGAATCTGACTATCTGAATACCGATTCTAAATCCACCTCAATTGACTCGCCATTGATACACAGACCAAGCTTTTTGTTATTGTTTTCTTCTCCTCAGCCTCTTTTTTTTTTCTTCAGAAAACTCAGTGTTCTACCAAATGGTTTTCTCAAGTTTGGATTTGATTGAAAATAGGAGTTTTGTTTGACAGAGTTGATGTTTTTCTCGAGAATGTTAACATCTCTTTGGAGAGAATTGTGATTCCTTGTTCTCAGATTTCAATTTCACTTTGGAAGTGTTGTTTTTTGTTTTCATTTTCTCAAAATTTGAATCGCAAGTTTCTTCATAATCCGTAAATGGATATTTTCAAACTATGTTAAGAAGAATTTGATCTGTTCCGCTAAGATTTTTTCCCAGTTTATTGAAATCTTTGTTTGGTTTTTATTTCGCTTGCTTAAATCTCCACTAAGATTTTTTCTTCTTTTGCTGTGATGCTCCCCGGATTCTGTTGATTTTTCATCTCGTTTCTTCGTAGCCAATGACTTCCCGTTTGGTTACGGGGAAACCAAGAGAAAATTACTTCTACCAAAGACATCTTCGCTCACTCTGTTTCGTCACTTTTAAAAACTTCCTCTTCGTGCACTTCCTTAAAGTAATCTTCAGCTTCTCATCAGTGTTCTTTTTGAACTGAAAATTTTCCGTGAAAATTCCCAGACGTCCGATGCACATATTCCGGTGATCATCTACGGCAACTGTTGCTTGAAATTGCGTGAACGTTTTAACAGAAGTGAGTATAATTCTTTCTTTTCTTATCCTTATCGGCTCTTTCACTTTATTTCTGAAATTAAATCAAAAACTTTTTCCAAAATTATATTTATAATTCTCAATTTTCACTTTCATGATGGGATAGGTGTGCACGAAAGAATGGAGAAGGACTCATTAAGGAACAATAATAACACTGGTATTGGTAGTAGCACCAACTACAGCAGAGACAGAGCTGCCGGAGCCGGAGTCGACGGCGGGTTATTAAGATCCAGCTCGGATCCGGCCAAGCAAACGGCGTCGTCTTCTGCTTTCGTTTTGCAGTGGGGAAATCGGAAGCGTCTCAGGTGTATGAAGATCCAGGTCAAAGACGATCAGTCTGGACCGGTTAGTCGAACCACGGTTCGAGTCGACCGCCGAGTCGTGAGGGCCGACATGGATTCTTCAAATCAGCCAAGCAATAACAATCACGGGAACGGATATTTTAACCTCCGTCAACGGCCTGCTTCCCCTCAAGCTCCGCCACCTCAGCGCATTCTCAGGTACGTTGTGAAATTTACGTTTTTACACTTCTCTCAATGGGTGTCGGACGCGTGTAACATACGTTCCTTTCTGATTGGTTGGTTTTGTATGTCTGGCTTTTTATTTCACTTGTTTTTGCGTTAGGTTTTTTGTTTAATTGGGGCGAGAAAGTTTTCATAATGCGGATATTTTAACATACGCTCCTTTAATTTTTTGCATTCTCAGGTCCCACTTAACTTGTATGCCTGAAATTCTTAAAATAATCTTTTTTATTTTAAAATAAAATAGATTAATAGTATAATATTTTTAGAGAAAATAATATTGTTTTTTGATAGCGTGTTATTAGCCTAAAGATGTCTTTTTTTAAAATATTATTCTTCTAATTTCTTTTAGAGGTATATTATTTTCATAAATTAATTTACTGATTTGCACTAGTTAAATTGACTAAATATATGGTTTAAAATTCGTTTATAATATGTAAAACTCATTAATTTTAGATTAATTTAGCATTAGTAGTCGAGACTAGAATATTTACATTATTTTTCTTTTTTTTTACCTGTTACAATTTATTTATTTTCAATTTTTATATTTTTTCCTTTATATTTTTCTATAATTTTTATATTTTTTTGGGACACATTTCTATATTTTGAAACCATATACACCAAGTATATATTAAAAACATAGGTATGTGACTATTTTATGTATACTTCTTATAAAAAGTTAGATAAATTATAATATATATGAATTAGAATACAAATTTGATCAATATATTTTAAAATATTGAATTTAAAATTTATTAATAAAAGAAATAATATTAAACCACGTCATTATTTGTTTTTATTTTCGTCCGGCTCTATTGTCATTCCCGATCTTCGTATAAAGATAATTTTTTAGGGCATAATAAGTCGTTGGATCTAAGGATAGATTGAGGAGTATCTATTTTTCTATTAATCATCAAATTTTTATTGCAAAAAATTATAATTTTAAATTATTAATATAATTTTTTAAATTTATATTCTCTAACATAAAAACTTATATTCGTCTCTAGCTGGATCTGATCAAAGGTTGGATGATATGTTAATTGACTTTTTTTTCCCTCCAAGAATGGATAAGCTTGACACTTGGTTGCCATTGACTCTCCTAAAACCTAAACAAAGTTTGGATAGATATTTTTCCAGATGGGCCTGTCGACTAGTTGGTGAATGCATATAATGGGTCTCTCTCCTATATAAATAAACAACATTTCAGCCTTAGATTTGCTATCTAACATTTCATCATTGTATGATTTGATGCATATTCAGGGCTGAATTATTTTTCTATTAGGCTCATATATATTCGTGCACTCTCCAATTTGGTCAGGTGGGCGCCAGTGTATGGTTCTGGAGAAAAGGAAATAAAAACTCATGGTGAGTTTATGAAAATGGAGCCTTATGTGTTTAGGGTTTTTTGTTAATTTTTTGGTAGATCTGACTGAAAGCCACCAGGTTCTTCATGCTAATCTAGTGAGCATACATCTTTCTATAGATATAAATATAGGAAATCCACTAGGATCTTTTAGCAAAGTTTTCCGTGGTTGCTTCTTGAATCTCCATCTTTTCATTAACTGGGAAAAATATTGTTATTGTATTGAGATATCAGATATTCGGATTATAAAATTTATTAATTCTACATAAAATAATAATCTTCAAATGAATATAATTAAGACGACTGATATTAAAATAAAATTATTATTTTTTTATGAAAATTGATAAGTATAAAGGTTAATATGTATGTTTAAAGTTTTAATTTCAGTTATATATTTAGATTTATTGTTATTAATGATTTCTATTGTGTAATCGAATCTTATGTAAGCAGGATAAGCATGGGTTGGGGTTGTCAACCCAACTTGAATATTGTATTCATCTATTGTTATATAAGATTTTTCACTCTAAATTCAACTCAATTTTATATTTAAAAATATTAAATCTTACCTAAAATTAAATTTCAAAGAATAATTCTATAGAGTTAAATTGAAACTTGTCAGATCCAAATGTTATACTCATTCTAATCTTACGTGTATAAAATATACTGATTGTTTTTTATGTTACCTACTGATTTTTCGTAAGCGTTTTAATCTATAATATTTTTTACAAGTGGATCTCATCTCATCATGTGTAGCAATTAAAATATTAATTGAAGATATATGATGATAGATTGATATTGCTTTACATTTGATAGTTATTATTAATTGATGCTCTTTTCTTTGAGTAATTTACTAATATATATATATATATATATATATATTAATATTAGTTATTATCGTTTTCTCGATTGTTATTTATCCTGCTCGATACAATTGATAGATTGTTATTATTTCCTGTCTCTGAACCTTATCACAGCCGATCCCAAACCCGAGCATCCGTGGACTTCTTGGAAAACTTCAACCATGCAAAAATAGACAGTTACCTCACCATATGTCTACAAATAGTCTGTTTTGATCCCCAAATCCTCTTTAAGCCGTCCGATCAGAAATTAGATTTGGAAATCTGGTCCCACTTTCTAATACCAACCTATATCTCACCGTAAAGGCAAAAAAGGAAAGAAATGCCTTTAATCCAACGGCCATAAATTCACCTGCGCTCCTTTTAACAACTCTTACTTAAAACCCAATCTCAAAGTCTCACCCTTTAAGAAAGCCAATACTTTCAACAACCGATCTAGAAGTCTAGATCACTCAAAAGGTTATATTAGTAAATTCGGTATTTACAATTTTTGTTTCTTCAAAATTTACTGTAGTTGATTTATTTCTTTAATTTTTGTTTTTTATATTCCTTTTGTCTTTTGTATTCTTATTTGGGAATTGTTGATGTAAATGATTTTTCCAGGAACTCTGAGAATTCCAGTGCTATGAGAGGCCAAAGCAACGGAGCAGCTGTTAGGGGATTCGCCTCGCCAGATAGGGGTGCGCACGATAAGAGAGTGGGTGGTAACAACCATAATAATAACCACCACCAGCTCCACCAGCGAAGCAGCCACAACAACCATGATAACAACCACCACCACAGCAAATCAGCGGCGTCTTCCGAGATGGCTCACGACAGCAAAAAGGGAGGCTCGTCTTCAGGAAGCGGCGAGGCAGCTGCTCCGCCCATCGTTTGGCCTCCGAAATTCGTGATCGCTTTGACGAATAAAGAGAAGGAAGAGGATTTCATGGCCATCAAAGGATCTAAACTGCCACAGAGACCCAAAAAACGAGCGAAATTCATTCAACGAACTCTCAACGTAAGGTCTCTCACTCTTTTCCTTGAATTGAATCGAAATTCCTATTTTAAATTTGACGCGAATTGAATATTTAGTCATTAGATTAGAGCAGATTTCGATTCGAAAATAAGATTAATTTTCTATATATTGGGGAAAGTCTTGTAGACGACTTTCAAGACTTATAGCAGGGGAGAACTACCCGTTGAATTTCAGGTCAAATAGAAAACCTTTTAGAGTACCTAAAGTGTAAGTGAGTGAAACATAGTTGTATACGTGTCATCCAATGAGTGGATGAAACCTAACTTGGAAAGGCTGTGACCCATAATGTTTTGCGTTGTGTCGTGTACTACTATGATGTATTTGCGCAATGCACGCCAAGGACCAGGGATGATAATTTGATTCTAATCCGTTATGATCTTATAAGTTTATTTCTTAAAAACTAGTTTAGATCAGGTTTAATTTTGTGAAGGAGAAAGCGGAGTTAGATTTAAAGTGAAAAATATTGATTCGAGAATAGTAGTAGAATTGATCTTTATATATATATAAATTGAGGATCTTATAATTATTATATTATTTATTTATATATTTTCTCAAATAAGTTTTAATCGAATAAAATAGAGGATTTTTATATTTGGATAGAATTGAATCCAAGTTTTTTATCCTAAAGTTTGAGTTAGATTTTAGATTAATTCTTTTTTAAATTAAGGTCAGGTATCAAGCGAGGAATATAATTTTTAGATTGGGTTCAACTTAGTCCAACTTAAACCGACGCAACACAGATAATTAATTAAGGAGGGTGGTGAAGGGTTTTCTTGTTTAGGAAGACTTGAACCGGTTTCAATGGGACGATTCGAGTGATGCTAGTTATTAGTTGGGTAAACTACACTTTTGGTAACTGAACTTTACTCTCTCTCCTAGTTCATTCATCGTACTTTCATTTTTTTTAATTTACTCACTAAATTTTATAAATTGAATTTTTTTGTTACTCTTCCGTTAAATAATTAACGGTGTTATAATATGGTTGTATTTTAATTAAAACGATGTTGTTTTAGTCTAAAATTTAATTTTTTTTTCAGGAATAAAAAACGACTTCGTTTTGATTAAAATACAGTCATATTATAACACCCTTAATTATTTAAGGGCGGAGTGACAAAAAAAATTCAATCTGTAAAGTTTAGTGAGTAAATTGAAAAAATTGAAAGTACAGTGAAAAAAATAGGAGAGAGGGTAATGTTCATTTACCAATCATGTAATTTACCCTTGTTAGTTTTGTAAGTGAAGAGGAAACGGACAAAATAGGGCACACGAGCCAAGCGGGCATTGGTCGACCCATCGTTGTTTCTGTGAATATGCTGTTATTGTAGGGTTTACTTTTTTGCATAGTTGAATAGTTGTCTTCCCGGGGTGGTCCACAATGTGATGCATAAAAAACACAAAGCACCAACTATTATTCCTTTTTTTTTCAACACTATTGGATCACGCCTAATTTAGGTGAATGCACTGTGATGCTGAAAATACAAAACTTTAATAGGTTTTGATCTTATAAAATCGTATTTGAAATTTGGATTCTAGGAGTGTCGGTACTGTTTTTGTGAAAGAAAATCAAAGTCGAGGTGGAGTTTGGTTTGCCTCTCCCGGTGCCGACCTATGAGTACATAAAATTCGGATAGATTCTATTATCGTCTTGTTGAGATTTTAAAATTCATAGTTCAGAATTTTGTTGATGTGATCATCTTCGGCACTAAAAAAATCATTATGCATAGTTTTTTTTTTATAAGAAATACGTAAACCATTGTTTAATATTTATATTTAAGCCTTAAAAATTCTAATCCCGAAATTATTTTTGTACAGCTGGTAAGTCCGGGGGCGTGGCTATGCGATCTATCCCTCGAACGATACGAGGTCAGGGAGAAGAAGATCACAAAAAAGGTATCAAAATAAGTAGAATTCTATTGTGGTTGAAATAATATTATTGGTTTTTCGAGTTATTTCTCGGATCGAATCGATGTACGGTAACAATATCATATATAATTGTTCGAGTCCGTTCGTGATTTATAAATGATTAATCCAAGTATTAAATTTTAAGTTTGACACTTATTTTAAGCATGTACAACCTTCTTCGTCGATGCTCGTTTTTGAGTTTAATGGGTGCATTTATCTGAACCTGAAGTGGTTAAAATGTAATGTTTGCAGAGACCAAGAGGATTGAAGGCAATGGGAAATACTAATATGGAATCGGACTCCGAATAAGACGGAAGCCTTTTTCGCGGAGGAGCAGTTTAGGCGTGGATCGAGTATCGGAATACGATGCCCTGATGAAACGTTGAAGGTAAGATGGTCTTTATGTTGAAGATGACAAGAAGGATATGAAGTGGTGTAAATGAGGACAGGACCCTTTGAGATGAATTAAAAAGAATGAAAAATCAAAGCCAAATTTTATTTTCTACATTCTACTTCTGGTAGACTCGTTATTTTCAGTTTTGGAAACTAATTTCTTCTAAACAAGAATTAATTTAAACTCGAAATTAATATAGAATTAAAATGATTCGAATTTAAAATAGGAGTACGAAATACGACTACGAGCTTTGCAACACAACATAAATTTAAATAAAAATAAAATTTAAATACTGGTTTGAACTAAAATATCATTTTTCGAGTAACTAATTGGAACAAACAATCATATATCAAACTATACTGAAATCAAGTTCATACATCTGATTGGACAGAAAAATTTGTGTATCAAATTAAATTTGAATTTCAAATTCAAATCGAGAAACTAAATTTATCAAGAATAAAATAAAAATTAAAAATAATTTTATTTATTTGTTGGTATATAAATTTTACATGTGAACATGTCAAACATAGAAATTTAATTAATGTTATCTTATTTTCTTTGAATAATTGCAAAACCCCTTCCAAATATATTTTCAAAATGAAAACTTGAGCACGAATCAAGTGGTTAAATAATTGTTGTTATTCTTTGAGTTTTCGAGTTCGAGCACCGTACATATAAATGTATGAGTGTTTATTGTCAAATATTTGAGAGTTTTTAAACATATATTACCTTGTTTTTATCTCAAACCAAATGAAGAACGTGCGTGGAAAATTCATGGAGAATTTTGAACTTAAAATAAGCCATAATTTTTGAAATGGTCAATGCCAAAGACAAATAAGCTTAAACATTCATGATCGGAAAATTCAACATTCAAGATAACCAAATAAGCATATTTGAATTTTTATTTTTCATTTGAATAAGTTTTTTTTCCTTTTAATAAAATTGATGAACACTTCTTTTTAATGTGTTCGATCTATTCTTGTGATACGTTTTTTTCTTTTATTGACAACCGTCTCTCTAGTTGTCATTTATTTGACTATCTTACTGACCTATTTCTATTTTTGTCCCTCAAATTGACAATATTTTATTGATGGGTGCTCGTGATTATTGAAGATAATTCACAAATGAATTGTGATAAATCTATTTTATCAATGTGTCATAATTGTTATGTATTTTAATTTTAGTGTAGATTGTGTTTATCTTTCACCATCTATAATGGTGTTTGTTTATATCATTTTTCTTTAATTGTTTGGTTAAATTTTTAACTTTCTTCTTGTATGATCTTATTATTTTACTCTTTAATGATTTTTAAAGGAAATGATATGTTAACGTGTTTAATATACTCTTTAATAAAATAATAATATTTAGTTAAAAAAATGAATTTATTTGAATTTATTATATACTATATTGACGGGTCAAATTTGAGTTTCCTTTATTACTCTTTTCGATTATCATACTCAATAATTTTTCGTTTAAAATAGACATGATGAAACATCATCAACATTAATAATTACAATCTCTCTTATTCTACATCAATAACATATATTCTATTTTATGAGACTCGAAATTTTAGACAATAATAAAAATGCATATGGAAAGTACAATTAGATTGAATAATACTAATGCCGTTGGAATGAAAATCTTTGTCTATATGCTCACATTTCATGACAGATAGGTTTTTAAATACTAATTAAGGATTAAATTAAATTATGTAATGTCCCCAAGCAAGAAAGGGGAGCTATTGTGGCCTATCCAATGGTGCCGGTATGCTTGTCTTTGTTAAACACTTTTGTAATAAATATGAGATACAACTTTATCATTTAATTAGTGAACAATAACTATATCTAATGAATAATTATATATAATGAGGGGACTAAAACAGCAATTTCACCATGTTTCTATTTTTCACTCGGTAGTGTGGTTATAAAATAATGAAGTAGAAAGATTATACGTATAAATATTAGACGAACACACATAATAATAAACCATTGTCCGTATTCGTATTCAAATACGTGTAGAATACTCAAAGGAAGAATCTTGACAAGTAGGACACGTCGGCAGAAACTGTAATAGAATATGTTTTGAGGAGAGAGAGAGAGAGAGATTTTATGGTTACTGTAAGAAGAGAATACGTTTACATGAAATGCATGATGAGGTTTGAAGAGAGGCCATCCATGCAACTTTTGTGACCACTCAAATCAAACATCATGATGGAATCGCCCCCCTAACCCAAAATTATATATATATATATATATATATTGGATTTGATTGATTGCGTGTGAGTTTTTACTTTAACAGTCGGGTTGATTTATAGATTGTTGAAGTGTTTTTAAATTTGGTTAAATCAGGTGATAAGTAAAAAAATATTATAGTTGGGTTTACTTGTGATCGATCATTCTTATGTATATATAATCAGGTGACAAGTAGATTTTGAACATATTTAAAGACTAATGACTGTAAAACATCAACATCATAGATTAATTTAAAGCTACACTTACTTGACTTGAATCCCACGTACGTTAATATAAACCATTTTGTTTATCTACATAAACCCTAATATTTAAATCATAAATATAACAGCATGTGAATATATATATCATCTCTCTTTCTTTCACATGGCTTAAACTTTGTTACAACGATTCCACGTTCAGTATGGGTTAGCAACGCTTTGACTCACTCCCGAGTAACCTTTATGTCAGCACGAGAAATCAGCTAAACTCGGGACACCAATCTCGCCGCCATTGATGAATTCATAAGGGAACTCGTAGCTAAACTGTTGTTGTTGTTCATGATGATGAGCATCGACCAGAACACTGCCCGAATCTTCAACATATCCATTACCGGCGGATCCTTCTAGGGATGAGACGACAATGACGTTGCTGTTGTGACTGTTGTCCAGATTCGAACATGACGGGTGAGAATTAAACTGCATGACCGGGTCCAAAGGCAAGCTTTGAGAGGTACTGCTGACAGAGAACCCATAGCCAACATCAGCAGCATTGGTGAAACTGAAACCGCCATTGTTGTCGATATTAAAGCTTGTCGATTTTCCGGCGAGTAGCTTCTTCTTCAACTTGGTGTTCCAGCAGTTCTTCACATCGTTGTCGGTTCTTCCAGGGAGTTGAGATGCTATGATTTTTTTTAGTGACCATCCGGAACAAAACAAAGACAAGAACAAGATAACAACTTGCCTGCTTCCCATTTGAGTATAGAGACTGCATATAATGTCGTCTTCCTCCTCGGTAAACCCTCCATATTTGATGTCTGGTCTGAGATAATTAAGCTATCGCAACCGGCAGCTCTAGCCGCATCTCTTTGGGCCTAAAAAACATAACCAAAGATGATAAAACTTGGTAATCATATCAACAAAGATCATGACAAAACAACAAAGAAGCTGTCAGGATTCTGAGGAAACCCTAGTTTTCAAGGGACAAAAAGAGGGTTGGCTTAGTACCAGCTTTAAGGGGCAAAGCGATCCAGTTGCCACCAGTGCCATGGGTCTGAACATAGGTTTTGAGAGCGGCGTCTTCTTCAGGAATCCAAGGCCGTCTCTTCACGTTTGCTTTGTCGCAACATGGAGCTCTACCCATGGCCCTGTCAGCTAAACAAAAAGACACAGTCAATTAACACTCGACAGATCACTGAAACAAAACAAGTTGAGCAAAAGAGAAACAGTGGGTACTCTTGTGGTGAAAAAATGGGATTTTTAAAGGTTGGTTGGCTCCTTTAAGGGCAAAACGACTTGACTTTGTAGGACTTATTTTTTAGGTCAAATTTGGTTCCCTGTACTTTGCTCAAATTTGGGGTTTAGTTTTTATAAAACTTTTGATTCATCATGTTGGCATGGATGTTTTTAAGAAAGTTCACATCAACACTTTAACTAAAACAGTTGATGGTGTTGAATTTTTGGAGTAACTGATTGCATTGCAAAAATAATGGATTAAATACCATTGAAATAAAATATAGGGACTAAAACTATAATTTTCCTTTTGTTCATTTCACCTACTTTCAAAACTAAGAAGGACCTAAAAAGCAATTGTACCCAAAAAATGGGGGACTGAGATCTAGTTTAAGTTCACCTTGTTTCAAAACTAAACGGCCCTAAAAAGCAATTGATTAAAAAAAATAAGGGAACCAAGGCTTAGTTTATCGAACTTTAGAACTAAGAGGACCTAAACGACAATTAAACCCAAAAATTTTTAGGACAATACTGGTACTCATAGCTCAAGTTTCGAATTTAGTTTTTATAACCCTTTTGATTTATCGTATTAGGATGGACGTTTTTAAGAAATTTCACATCAACACTTCAACTAAAACATTAGATGATATTGCATATTTGGATTAACTAATTACATTACAAAAATAACGGATTAAATACAAACTGAAATAAAATATAGTGACCAAAACTATAGCTTCACCTTTGTTCGTTCTTTTTATTAATTTACTTTTGCCCTCTTCTTCCCTGCATCTTTCTTGTCTGTTAAGACAGCAGGACCCAGTCAATGTTCACTTATGTTGACTGTTTGACATCTGATTCATTACTTAGGTAATCCTTTTTCACCACTGCCTTGATGCAATTAAACCCATTGTTTTAACTCACCATTTACTTTTTTGACTAGCATTCATCGGTCGAGTGTTAATTCAGTTGATATTGTTAAAAGTATTTAATATTGAATTTAAAATATTATGTTTTTTATTAGAATGATTATAAATTAGATCGGGTTTTTGGTTCATCTATCATCTGACTCAGATTTAGGGAATATTTATTTGATTCGATTTTGGGTAAAAATTCATATTTGACTTGATTAAAAAATTAACCTATTTTTTTGTGTAAAAACCTACACCTGACCGATCCAACATGAATAAAAAAATATATAAGAAGAGATGTATTATAGCAATTTTCTTAGATATATAAAGTTCAATTATACTATTATTTTTTATATCGAATCGAATTGAGTATTTTCCATATTAAATCTAAACCCGACCAAATCTCATCCTTCAACAACGGATCTCAGTTGAACCTCTTGTTTTATTTTAAAAAAATGATCCTATAAAGTTGAATCGGATCGTATACCATCAAGTTAAATGTCTATTCCTCTCCTCTATCCTCCTCGAAAGAGTAAATTAATTAGGATTAATGTGTAGAAAATAATGGTTAATTGTGGGAATTTCACCGCAATGGATCTTTGATTGCAACCCAATGGTAAAAGGAGATAATTTTACCCTAATGTTTATTTGTATAATGCAGGTTAAATTTAGTACAATTTAAATGAGCTTTTACTCGATTTAAACCTAATAATTTGATTGTGTTGTGCTTTACATTTACTACTACTCTCTTTCAGCTTCTATGGGGGGGGGGGGAGTATATTCCCCACTAGTGATGAGTATTTTGTGAGAAGTTCTACCGTGCGGCTGTCTTAATATACGGTTAAGAAAAGATGTTATCGATTTTGTTATTATTATTTTTAACAAAACCGATACAAATTACCTAAAACATTATTGTTTATATCTAAAACGTTAATATTTTTAACATTTCCGGTAAAGTGTCTAATAATAACAAAATCGGTAGAAAAAAATAATATTTTAAGTAACGCTTTACAGGATATGTTAACAAAACCGGCAAAACGTCCAATATTAACAAAACCAGTAAAAATAATAATGTATAAGGTAATATTTTTCTGATTTTGTTAAAAAAAATAATAACAAAACCGATAACACAATTTTTTAGCCGTATATTAAATTTGTCGCACGTAAAACTTTCTCGTGTTTTGTAGGAACTTTTGTAGAAGCAACCAGTAGGTGTGGCAAACTTTATAATAGCTAGCTAGGGTTCTGTTATTTAATTAACTTTCTAGCTGCCAATTTTTCTCAGTACAACAATATTCATTTTTTTTCGATTAGTGTAAATTAAATATTATAAAGATCTATCGTGAGATGATTCTTGTAATTTATTTTTAACTTATATCGTTAAAATTCAAACTTTTAAAATTTATTTAAGAAATCTAACGTCACATCCCGGTTAGACATAAATCAAATTAGATTAAGTCTAATTTTTTACTCACTCAAACCCACTCCTACATACACATAAACATAACTCCAATCCGACCAAATAACTCAAACGTTATACAAATATAAAGCCTAATATGAGCTTATTATTTCTTGTAGTTTCGAAATGGGGTTTAGATTGGACCTCATTTGGGGCTTGGATTAAGTGGATTTATTTTGTCATCCTTAAATATTTTGCATAATATATAGTTTGGACCAGTGAAAAGATGATCTTGTTATTCTATGAAGTTGTTGTACTCTAGTGACGCATTGAAAAAATTGTGATGGAGAGATTGAGAAAATTATCTCTCTACGGAACAGTGACTTTTTTGAATTGATTTCGGGAAGAAAATAATTGTTTGGTTATTAAAAAATAAGAAAAAATGAATGAATTATCAAGATAAATAAGCATGTATGGTGAACTAGCGTCACGTAAATCAACTAACATGCCACATCAACATTTCATTAATGCAGTAACGACAATAACGCTGAGTGATCGATTTGTTATAAATTAATAACATTAGTGATTAATTTGTTAATTTAAAAATTTCAGTAGATAAAATTAAAATTTACTCAAATATTAGTGATCATTTGTGTAGTTTATCCTTTTATTTATAATATAAATCGTTAATAGGAGGAAGGGAGTGTAGAGAGCGATTATATCTTTTAAAAATTTTAAATTTATATATAATTTAAATGTTTTTATTTTTATTAATATGATCTTATGATTTTTAAAATTTTAATATAACTTTCTAAAAAATTGATATTTATACATAAAATTATAAGTTCGTCCTGATTTATATAGAGAATAGATATACAGTCAAAGAAGGCCAAGGATAGAGTCAATAGTTTAAGTCATAGAAAATTTAAAGGGTTTCATATGATTCAAAACCTGATTGGATTTTTAAGTTAAAAAATTACACTCACAATTGACCCACACAAATATATATAAACAAATCACATTTTTTTATATAAAATATGACCTAATTAAAAAATATAAAAAGAGCGACATTACTACATTTATATCTAAATATATAAAAAATTAATTATACTATTATCTCATATTGAATTAAATTCGATTCAATACTTGAAAAAACTAGTCTGGCTTTATTCAATTAAATTTTAAATTTTCACTAAAAGTAGTTATTATTATAAAATCATATGGAATAAAAATATATTGGATCTAAATTTCGTACTCATTTTTATCGTCAAATCCTTTCTCATGATATTCTAAATTTAATTTTAGAAAACAAGTCAAAAGTAAGGAACAAACCAAGCCTTGGAACTGTGGTCCGAGTTGTTGTTGTCGACTTGATAAAATTAATCAAAGTGGCTTAGATTTGATTAGTGGGACCCTCCAAAACAGATTAGTGCTTCGTGTCTCCATCAAACTTTGACATTAAATAATTAATGAGATTACAAGTGGGTGTTGAGGAGACAGTTATCCAAAGCAGATAAGGGTCCACGTCACGAATCTCATCACCAGATAAGATAATACTCCTCGTCTACTTCTTTACATTTTGGTTGCCCCATCAATTCAATTTATTCTTTCATTTTCATTCATGCACGCCTAGGGATTAGGATGAATCTAATTTTTATTATTTTGATCTGATTTTAAAATTATATATTTATTTAAATTTAATTTAAGTTTAGTAAAATTACATTTTATTTAAAATTTTTATATAAATTTAAAATAAGAACTTGTATAGACGTTCAATTTAACTCGATATAAATATAAAAATTTTATTTTATTTAATAAAAAAAATATATAATTAAAAATTATTGAAAAATGAATATTATGATAATCATCTCTAATTATATGGAAAGGAATTATATTATCAGCTTATATTAAGTTAGAAAAAAGATTTTATTGCATACTCAAATATATTTTCACTCTTTATTAAATTCGACTATAATTTAATTTTTTTAATTTAAAAAATATTTTATTAGATTATTAAAAAAATAATATAATATCTTTATTTTTTAAAAATAATAATATGACATTATCGTACATCAAAGTTATTAATATTATATGCTATTAAAAACTAAAATTTAAAATTTAAAAAAATATTTAAAAAAGAAAGAAAGATGATCAAAGCAAAATTGTACAAATAGTTAGATGACTTGTACACAATTTAGTTCATGTAATTTTGTATATTGTCAATAATTCTGTTTGTTTAATGAGAAAATAAAATAGTTCTAAACTGCAATCTAACGACGCAAGTTGGGGGTAAAAGATGAAATAAATATATTACATGGATTCTGGAGAAAATTACAAAGATAATCTCAGAAAGCAAATGATGAAGAAATCAGAAACAAAGAGAGCAGGGAGCCATAGTAAATCCTTTGTTTTCGTCTGTACAAAAGTCACGATTTCCCGGAAAACAAACTTTTTTTTTTCTATTTACCACGCAAATTATCCAGCATCAATATCCAACCAACTCCGATACCCAACCAACATCAGGACCCGATCCGGTAGGATCCAGGGGGTCGAGAGAATTATCCTCGCTCAGCTTAGCGTACATCCTTGCCCTCAAGTCTCTCCCTGATTCCACTCGCTCCATTGCAGGTTCCTCCTCCAACGGATTACTGAGTCCCCGAGTCGGTGTGGAAGGAGACCCGAGTCGGAGCATGGAGTTCCTTGGAGAAACGAAACATGATCCCATAGGAATGCCCCGGAAACATGCGGATCCCATTTTCGACTTACCTAGCTGTAGATTACGTATCGAAGTCGTGAGTTCAGTTACCGATGAGTCACTCGGCGACATGGGCGGTGACTTGGAGGGAGGAGAAAATGGAGGTGGAGCCAAAATGGAAGTTGGTGAAGAAACGTGGTCTAAACGGTAAGACCCGGAACCGGATCCATTCCCTCTCGAGCTCTGCTTCGGCAAGACCCGAAGCTGCTCCGGCGTGTGAGCGAAAAAGCAAACCCGTCGTTTACAACCAGTACCGTCTTTGCACGGCTGAGTCCGGTAACGAGTCGGGTGGAGCCAACACTCGAAAACGCCATGAGCGAACTCACACGAGTCGCCTATCTTACAGCTCCCCTTCCGGAAATCGGGGCAAGCCGATCCGGCGTAATGGAACTTCCTCGGATCCCTCCTCCGAGCCTTCTCCCCCGGATGAGCGTACGGACAGTCGGTCCAGTCATGTGACCTGGCACGTGCGCACCTCCTCACCTTGAACTCGTACATACGGAAATGGTCGCACGAGAACGCATCGACGACCGGCACGTCGGAGTCGTCGTAGAAGACGTCGGGTTCGAGATCGTTCGACGGAAGGTAACGGTGGAGTGCCGCCAAGTAATCAACGGGACAAGGACTACACGGTGCATTGCAGTTATAGGAAACGGCCGGGAAGTTATCTGCCGGATCGTTTGATGGATCCCACGCGGGGATGTTCACGGTGGGGCTTGGTCGTGTCGATGATTTTCCTATCATCATACTTAGGACATCGTTCTTCTACACTTTAGCTCTAGGTGGAGCGGTTCCCTTCAATATAAGCTGTTTTATTAACCCATAGTTCGTCTCTCGTTAATCATGGTCGAGTTATTTTATAAATTTAATCACTGATATTATTGTTTTTAGTGTTTAAAAATGTTTAAACGATTAATTTAATCACCGATTCAACTCAATCAATTAATATCATATTAATAAAAAAAATTCCTTTAATTGGTAATTGAGTCAATTTTTCAAAAAAGTTATTAACCGAAGCCGAAAACAAATTCAACTATTTTGATTTTCAAATTAACAGACATTTGTTGTAATTCTTTTAATTATATTAATTCAAGTTTAATATAAATATTTTTTAATCAAAATCAAGTCAGAATGAGATTTTGGTTCAACTAAATATAATATTTTTTTCACTGGTTATATGATCTAATTTGATTTAGAGAAGTTTTATCTGACCTAATAGAATAATAATTCTCGCTTTTATTAGATTAGATATGAATTTAATTAAAAAAATATATAAAGAGAAATATTATAACAATTATCTTTAAATATATAAAGATAAATTATAATATTATTTTCTTGATAGAATATTTTTACTTTAAACTTTAACTCAATCTTATTGTTAAAAATATTGATCTAATATAATCAATACACATCTTTTAAAAAAAGTTAATCTTACAAAATCAATTAAAATACATATCCTTACACGTGAGTTAATAATAATAATGACTAATAATTTTTAGAAAATTGAAAAAAAGGCAAATTTTCGTTTTTTATCCAAATATCACTCAACCAAAAATTAATAGTGAGAATAACACTTATTTTAGATTATTTTATGGATTGACGTCCTTTTTCTCACTTAGGCAAAGTATACTTCGTAGAAAATGTTTTTCAAAAAACGTGTTTTTTTATTTATTAATGTGACAAAATTATTAGAATTTTAAAGGTTGGGTTCGAATGAAAGTAAAGAAAACAAATGTGCCAAAATAGGAATAAAATTATGAATTTTGTACTAAACGAATAAACATATACGATACATATCGGGTACACAAAATTACTAGAAGGATCGAATGACTACAATGACACGAGTGTATTAACCTTATGTTTAATCACTTAATAAAAGTATGTTTAAAAATTCATATATAAATATTTTAAAATTGTCATATTTAAAAAAAAATGAGATTTTAATACTCACATATGCTTCTCAAATATCATATTATTTAGATACAAGAATTTTCAAATGTTTAAATATAATTCTTTTATTTATGGCTTTATTAAGTGGTTGAACATAAAACTAATGCGCATGCGTTGTTATCATCTTCTTACTTATGCACAGTATGTATTTATTTATTTTAAACAAAATTTATAATTTTAAGTTATTTTTTATTTTGTTTCATTCTGATTAAAATTATGTTCATACAACTGTCACGTAGATAAAAGATACGGCTTATATAAAAGACTTTCAAAAGTACTTTTTATATAACGAGTAATATGTTAATTCAAAAATAATCTGAAATAGATAATATTCTGTGATTAATTTTTATTTTTTTATGTTATTTGAGTAATAAACAAATTTCGAGTATAATTTAAAAAATCCGTACGAATGCGGCCACGTGGCATCCCATACGGATTTTATTGATTCTGCTCTCCAGATTTTCTTCATTTCTCCTTAATTAATTCAAGGATTATCCACGGGGGTTTTCCTTGCATGTGATTCTGGGACGGCAATCTCCGTGTCTCTTAATATTTTTATTAATAATTTAAAGTGACTGTAAAATAATATATATTTAAAATTATTGATAATATAAATATATTTTTATAGATGTAGTTACTTAAAGTCGGTATTTTTTTTAAAAAATACTTATTTTAATTATTGAAATCCCTTAATGAGGTCTCTCCCAATCGCTTTATTGTTTTATTCGTTCAATAGTACAAAATTTTATAATCTACTATTTAAGATTTATGAATTTAAATAAAGAATTTAGAATTACAATTTATAATTTAAGACATAGAATGATAAAGAGATGTATATAGTTTGATTCGTTCTTTTGATAAGATATCAATATTTGATTTGATTAATTTCACTTTTTTATTTGTTAGATTAACTTTGATTTTTGAGATTTTATATTTATTTTAACAAAAATAACTTTATATTATGACTTTTAACATTATTTGGTATACATTCTACAAAAAGTTAAAAATATTTATAAAAAACATTTTTAATTAAATAAAATAAAATATTTCATATATTTTTTAGGTTATTTCACCATTTTTGAGTATACAATATTTATTTAAGTACATTATTGGATTGATTGATTGAATTTAATATTTATATAATTTTCCTTAGTAAATTTTAATTTTAGTCGCTTTCGTTATGTTTTTATTAACTTTTGGTCATTAAGACGTTGAGTGTCGTTAGTTTGACGACATGATATATGAATGAAATAGTTTAATTTTTATTTTAACTCGTAAATTTTAAATAAAATATTTATCACATGTATTTTTATAAACTCACAATAATTTAAGGGTAAATTCTTTGTTTATCTTTAAGGATGGAACTCGATTTACCACCTAATTTAAAAGATAACATCCTGACCACCACCTCCAACGACTCTTCCGCTACATTCGAAAACCCTTTTCGTTACAAAACAATGAGATTCCATAGGAGGCATTTCATTTTCATCATTATTGGTTTCGGATTAGGATTAAAACTTATCCAACTTGTTTGAATCTTAAACCCCAAGAAGGAGCTTTCTTGAAGGAAATTAGGAGGAAAAATTATTTATTTAATACCAACTTGTATCTATTCAAACCCTCTTGTTGGCAGCGATTGATAATGCCAAACTTGCCATTAATAAGATTGTCATTTCATAAAAATGGATATTATTTGGTGTTTTTTTTCTCTATAGAATATTTTGACCTTTAATATCCTCATTTAGGGTAAAAATACCCCATTAATCGTTTTTTAACTAACATTTTATTTATAGAGTTTTTTTTTCTTCAAAACTTAAAAGTCAAAATGCTAAAAAAAAAGAATATGAACCAACGTGATTATTTAGGTGAGGGTATTTTTTTTAACATTATACGAAAAAAAATCTCAAATGTAAAGTGCTTTATGCAATTCCACATGAATCCCCAAGTTGCAAACCAAAAGAGGAAGGAAAATGGTTGAATAAGTTGCTTTCACGTTTGATTGAACAAGATGGGCAAATTGTTGGTTTTGTGTTAAAAACCGTGGGCTTTGGGAAGTCTTTTTCAACTCGATTGATTTGATTTTAGCAACTAGGGATAAGAAAACACGGCCAATAGAAGAAATCAAAATATTTTAGATACAGGCTATGTAAAAATTAAATGTATGTATATGAGTGATTGTGAGTTGGAAATCATAAATGATATCAATATAATCTTGTTTTTATTTTCACTGTCGGTGTAGGTAATAATAATCCATATAAGAACTGGTCATGAAAAATCCAAAAGAACGTAAAACCCGAACGACTTTGATTGAGATCAAGCTGTGGTGTTTTGAAAGCTTTAAGTTGATATTAAAGCTCGAGGGTACTGGATTTAGTTGAAGTTGTTATAAGTGGAAAATGGAGAATAGTTAGGTGGATTCCTTTGGTTGATGGAATGTGGCCCAATCCATTCATTCTCATGGGACCTTATCATTCTCGCTGAGGTGTCCAAACAACTGCCCTTGCTATTAACGACGGATCTAAATATTCAAGAGCCAGGATTCAAAAAATTTATTACTTTTTTTTTAATTAAATAAATATGTATTTTTTTATTTCTTCTTCTTCCCTTAATATATTAAACTATATTCAATACCTAATCTTCTGTCCCTGCCTACTATTAGTGATTTTCTATTGTTAATTTCAGTTATTTTTTACTCATCTAAAGATCCTAAATCTATGTAAAACTAAAAGAGTTTTACATTGTGTAACAACATCTTATCTTATATATATTAAATTGATATCTAAAATATTTTTTATACCTATTCTCAAAATGTTAATATCGTTTCATTTTGATTTTTTTATTAAATTTTATTGAGTCAAAATATTTAATTTGCTTTTAAGGTCTTTGAAAGGTTAATCTCTCTTTTCACCCCTATAATTTACTTAGACCTTTAGTGTGATCCTACTTAATTTTTTTTTTATCAGTTTATCATTAGAAATGAATATTTGATCCAAAACTCAATGTATCTCAACTTGACATGATCTGAACGATCTTTTATTTTATAATTCAAGTTTGAGTAGAGTCAAATTATGTTCTTCAAAGAATGAGAACAAATCAGGTTTATATTTGAGTTTAGTATACAAAAAAACTCAATTTAACCCAATATAATGTTATAAGTATCCTCTATATATTTAATAATAATAATAATAATAATCTCTATATTAATTTTTTAATCTTTATTTTACCCAATATATATATATATATCAATCAAGTCGGGTACAAGTACTTGTTTTTATCTTAGATCGGGTTAAATCCTAAATTTGAGTCGAATATATTTAGAGGAATTAATTTTTTCCCGATTCGGGTGGGTCAAAATCCCAACCCGACCTACGACCATCCTATGATCATTACTGTTAAAAAATGGTGACATGAGGGACTGCCCGGTGTAATAAAAGTAAAAAACACTAACAAAAACACAAGATTTAAAATTACTCGTAAGAAAGAAAAAACTTTAAAGAAAATAAAAAAAATCAAAAATCTCAGAATATATATATATATATAATTATAATTATACTTAGTTTAGTTTTTAAAATTAAAAATCCATAAGTCATTAAAAGTTCTGATTTCTTAAAAGAAATTTTGGGATGAAAATACAAAGGAGGTGCAATATGAGGAATAAAGCAACATTTTTACTACAATCAGTCTACTTTACAAAATCAGTCTTTGTTAGGATCATCTCCTTCACGTGCAACAGTGCTCCTTTCCCTTTCCCCTTCTTTGTTACAAGGATGAGGCTGTGGAGCAGTAAGTAAGCTCCTTTGACCCTCGCTCGACGATGGAAGCGGACTGGTAGAATGTTTGTTATCGCTTTCTGGCACTACAACAGCTGGCCCTGATGTCGCCGCAGCAGCCTCGGCTTCACTGCCTACACCGTGACTTGCTGCTTCTTTGCCGCTAGCAGCAGCTGGAAAGTTTAGCAAATGTTATATTGAGACTAGGGGAAAGTAGCTGCCAAGTTTCGGAATGGTAAAACACAGAGAAACAATAAATAAAGTAATCCATTGAGCAGCGGAATTAACCTGTATGGCTGGACACAGCACTGCTAGTGTTTGTATTTTGCGGTGCTGATGACGTTGCAGCGCCCCTTTTCATCTTCAACTGTGGAACAAAGGAATCCGATGAGTAATTTTACTTGCACGGACAATTGTTTCGTATTCCAGTGGATATACGGAAGTGAAAACCATTTAACCTAATACTGTTTTCGTCCAAGACGAAGAACTAAGGTACAACTCACATAAATTCAATGTCACGGCACTTTAAAATCCTCTCATTCTAAAATAGAAGTAACATCTAACGTAGAGTCGTGTGCGTTCTAGCAATCTAAAAATGTTTTCTTTCATACCTTAGCATTTTCTTCACAGTACTTTACAACAGCTGAGATGCCGGCATACCGGCTGTTCAACAACGTATAAGCCCACAACAAAAGCTTCCTCGGAATGCTTAGTTCAAGAGGTTCAACCCCTTCGATGCTTGATGGGAACTGCTTTTCTTTTAATAGTCGAGATGGCACCAAAGAAAGGTTGACCACAGATGGGAGCATTACACAGGAGCTCTCCCGATAGAAATTGTATGAACTTCTAAGCAAAGAGTTGGCAGTCTCCAAATCTCCGTCGTAAGCCTTCTTTATCACGATATTATTAATTTTTGCCAAAGTCGGGTTCCTTTTTGTTTTGAGACTTTCCGAATGAGTTGAGTCCTCAAACGATGAATTCCATAGTTCAGTTGTTTGCAGATCAACACAAAGCTGCTGGCTGCTTTCCACAACACCATCTATTGGTAGGTTAAGAGTTTGAACATCGTTCGAGAATCCAGATTGCAATGGAGTGATTGATGCCAAGCCAATTATAATAGATCGATACCAAGCAATCGAGGCATGCCTGCAAACTTTGGCACAATTACTATTTGACAATTTTGGGTTCTTGAACCGTTTCCGGATCCTCTCATTTATTGCTTCAAGTGTTTCCAGTTTGCCATTTCTTTCCAAGGACAGAATATACTGGTGAAGATACCTAAGCCAAATTCATCAAGTGTTAGAATTTCATGAAAAGGAAAGACGCTAGTTATAATACAGCATAACTATGTCTATCACATACTAAGATTCCGAGAATTTTAGATTCATGATTACAAACTCGGGAAATATGTTTTACCCATATAAACTGCTCTCGGATATTTCTGGACTCTTAATCTCAGGCAAACAGCAGATCTCGGGCCATAAGGTACCCTGTTCCATAAACAAACCGAATATCTTCTCAAGTTGATCAGCAGCAGCAGCAGTCTCAATTTGATTCATGGATAAAACCAGAGCCTTTATGTGCCTCCCAAGTGCCACCGGCACAAGATCTTCAATGCACAAGGAGAACTGAGTGCAAAAAAGCATCAGATTACAAATAGTATTAACCTAAGCATATGACTTTTGCAGTGATTACGGCTGATATGACTAATATAACTAGAAACTGTTTATCTTTCAACTCTTATTAACCATAGATCAAAACTCAAAAAATCATAGCTACTTTCTCAAGGATTGAATGGTTACCCGCTTATCAGACCGAAGGGAAAGATAAGCCCGGTCAAGAGTACAGATGTCTCCAGTTTCTTCCAACAATTTCAGATAAAACAGCAAGTATTTTCGGATGCAAGTTATAAACTTTCGAGAACTCTCTGGTAAGTTTACTTCAAGGGCCTTCTTGTTCCCAGCTAAACCTGGTGTTTTGCGCCTGATTTTTTCCCAAAAAGAAAAGACAAAAAGGAAATACATTAGACCAGTATAATAACAGTCAATGACTCACAAGCATTAAAGTATTATCAACATCAAAGACATGGACATCTCAGAAAGGAAAACTAAGGACATCATATTGAACCGTCCAAAATCCTTTTCTCAGCCCTGCCCCACCCCAAAATGAAATTGGTAACTAATGAAACTTGACTAGAACATTAAAGCAGAAAACTGGTTTAATATCCAGGTTATGACAATCTAATTGCTTGGAATATGAAATATATAGGGTTGCAGCCATACTTTCCCTTTTTCACCATGCCATCAATCTCCCACATGTTTATTGTAAAGCTTGACCGAGATGATTTGAAGCAAAAAGAAAGTTCATCTTTAGCCTTCTGCAAATCACCTCTTCCCCCCCTTTTATATAATCCTTGGGCGAGCATAAATCTAGCCTTATGAAAATGTTTCAGATCTCCTCCAATACAAATTTCCAGCGCGGAAAGACAGTCATTGTAAAGCATGTTCCACACCTCATCCATTTTCTCTAATTTGTCATGATGTTTTTCCTCTATATTCTTTTTACTGCTTTCGTCCATATCTTCTTCCATAAGCGAACTTTCAGGAGATAATACCCTGATAATGTCCATTACATCATCCTTTAAAGATTGACTGAAAGAACACGTTGAAAGAACCTGGAACACAATCAATGAGAGTTGAGGCTCAAGAATTGTTATCTGGTGAACTTGTCAACTTATTTAAGTCCAGAAACAAGAAACTGTTAACTATTAAAACATGAATGATTCAAAAAAAGAAGTTAAAACGGAAAGGAAAGGAAAATAATGTTAATTTTGCTTGCTTGGAAGAGGGAAGGAGGAAGGGAACCTTTAAGACTTCAAGATTTTGCTTTCCACAGTTCCAGAGTAACTTTAAGCGTGAGGCATGCATCCTGTAGAAAGGATCGACAGCTGATGGATTCAAAGCAATGGCCTTATCATAATAGGACAACGATGTCTCATACGAGTATCCAAGCTTCTCACAGAGTTTTCCTATGTAGAATGCATGTGACCAGTCTGGCCTATAACATAATGGTGTCGGCTGAAGTTACAGATCTTATGATCATAAAGATCAAGAGTGAGAAAGTGGAACGGAAAAAAAGAAATAAAGAATTACTTGTGCATGAAGGCTTTTTTAAAGTGCCTCATAGAATTTTCACAGTACATCCTCCAAACTGCATCCCTTGAGGGCACAACTGATCGCTGATCAAAGAAGGGAACAACATTCTGAAGGCTGTCGTAGTATACTAACGCCAATAATTCATGTATCTCACCCTAAGATAATGCAAAGTTACACAATAATTAGCTACAAATTGCTTCTAATTTAAAATAAAACAATCATTATAAATATAAACCGAGAATAAGTTCACAAATTCTCTTTACGACTGTTGAACTATTTCAAGCCTCGTATCAGAAGAATGTCCACAGCATTTTAATTGTATCAAGTAACCTCCCAAAAAACAAGGAATTAGTTCTTAAAATAATCTAATAACCAAAATAAATGATAGCACGGGCATATGATTTCAATGACTCAAATTTTAAGATCTGTTGTGCTGTACAGGTTTGAGAAATAACATTTGATCACCAATATAAGGGATGTAAAAGGCAATTTCCAAGAAAAACCAAACTCCGAACCAGTGTCCAAAATGCATATGAATCACTGGCATAGGGTTACCTGCTGTTCTGATGTCTTAGCCAAAGCCAAACTTATTAATAGACAGCGCCTGCTCCTCCTTCTACTTGTCTCTACTCTCTGAGGCAAAGTGGTATTCTTCCTCCATCCTGATACATTTATGTGTTTACTCCCATCATTTAGCAGCAAATCCACCTCCTACTTAACAGAAGCCAAAGAGAATTGTGTAAACAATTTGATCCCTTGCTAGGAAAATATAGAAAATCACATTAGAATAAGGTTTTACGGTCTGTGCATCATTGACTAATAAAATGATTGCTCAAAGCAAATCTTGCCTCATCATAAATATTTCCAAGACGTTGCCAACTCTCAAAGCGTAGAGGGTTATAAAGTAGGTCATATTTGAAGAGGTTTGCATTTTGCTGAACAAATTCTTCCCCTTCCTTGGTGAGCACAAAGCCAGGCCATTTATCAGTTGCATTAGTTTCTTCCGACTGTGCTAGGAAATAATATAGATTGCTATAAATATCCAAATATGGCTCAGAGCTGCAACCCATGATTACATGCAAAGACAGTATATAAGTAAAGGAGTAAAAACATACACATTTAACCACTGATAACAAAATAAAGACATACTAGATGAACAGCACAAATATATACCTCTGTAGTAATGATGCTTTGTACTGTTTGAAGTTTCCTCCATCAGGAAAAAGCATCTTTGTTACAGTATCCAGATAACCTTCAGATCCAGCCATCTCTGACAGTTTGTCCTCACATAAATCAGCATCAAAAAACTTATCTATTATATTTTCAGCCAAAATTTCTTCAGGTGGTTGAGGAAAGTGTTTACGTATGGTTCTTAGCACTCTGCGAAGTTTGACTAATCCAGTTCTCTGAAACACAAAATAATGTAATTGAACTATGTTGCATTCAGCACAATTAGATGATAACTTAAATACACACACATATAAATTGTCTTGCATACACATGCATAGTCCCCCATGCACTCCTGTTTCTGTTAGTATGAATGAGTTTGTGAAGAGAGAAAAACTACTCACAGAAGAAGCCTTGGCAGAGGGAAGAAGGTATTGGAAGACATCGGCACATTGTTCCTTGGTCTGATAATCACCACGACTAGCATTTTTGTGCACAGCCAGTTCATCATCATATGATGAGTCAGATCTAAGATTAAGACCATATAAGCAGAAAAAGCACTGATCCAAAGCATTATCTATCATTAACTCAAATTCCTCCATGTCATCTTCGGTAAGCTCATTTGCACATTCATCAAGTTGATCATTTACTCCTAGGTTGATTTTGTCAACATTACTACTTTGCTTTTGAAGTGCTATTGCATTGTATCTCTCTTGGCCAGAAGAAGATGGAGATCCTTTAGAAGTAATCCCTTCAATATCATCCTTCATTGGAGTAATGGATTCAAAATTTTGAGTACCACACATTTTTGCACCTTGCTTGTCCGAACTTATTTCATTTTCTGAACTTTTGGGATCATTATCACAGGTCGGCAGCCTTTCATCTGGACTCATCTCCCTGTTTGAAGAGTTAAAACTGGATTTTAGCTTCATGTCCAAGGCCAATAGATGCTTTATTGCAAATTTAAGAAATGTTGCTTCCTCCCCTTCACTGCCCTCGCCCGCACAGCAAAGCCCATATTCAGCGAGCAAGTCATGAATTGCCACAATTAATTCGACCTAAGAAGAGAAGTCAGTGAACAGAATTTTAATATATATAGACATGCAAACAAATGCCGTGAGAAAAAAGAAAATTCAATGGATCAATGAGTGAATTGCTAATTTCCTCTTCGTAAAAGCTACGATAAAGTTTACCTGGGTTTTAACAGTTATGGAAGGGTCAAGATGTTGAAGCTTGCAAAAAGCAATGGCCGCATTGATGAAGCAATTACTTTGCTTTTGCTCGAGTTGATCAACAGTTGCTGGTATAGAAGCTTTCTTACAAAGGAAATCTTTTGCAATGTTGTACATGATTGCCAAAAGCAGTGATTGAATATTACTAAAGATGCTAACTAAACCAGTGCCACTCTGCATAAACAGCAAACATTAAATCAAGATGCAGCATATTCTACTTTGAATATTAATCAAGGAGTCAGAAACAGAAGGGTGCATTTCTGCAGGTAAAAATTACTTACAGTCTCTCCAGATTGATCAATGAAGTCCTTCACTTGTGAGACGCATTGTAAAATTGCCTTCACTTCCTCTGTAACCAAGTGATTCCAGTTCTTGCTTGAACTGTCACTCGATACCATCTCAGGACCGGAATGCATTTTTGATCCTGACTTCAGATGAAAGCCTTTGCCAAAAGCAACACATTCATTCATTCCAGCTAATGCCATGAGTATTTGAAGCTTTCGTGTGTGACTATTCAAATACACCTCCATATCCATTGGCTTTATCTTCTGACAAGCTTTAATTAACATATCCAATGCTGATAGTTCAACAGATGTAAAACCGTCACCCTTTGGGTCAGCAGCCAGTAAAGGTGATAAAGAATCAGAAGAGAAAAGAAGAGGAGCAAGTGAAGTTACACATTCCAGATACATCTCTTTCTCAATCACCTCACTTAGATTCTTCTCCAACAAGAAATCAACCTTTAACAAATTTATTTCATGAAGAATCCTCTCTACAGTTAACTCTTTACAACTCTTACAATGTGGCAACTGCACCATGGAAGAATTGTTTGCATTTTCCTTCTTTTCCAAAAGTGACAAGGAAATGCAGAACTCTTCATAAGCTTTTGCCTTTTTCCCATCCTGAACAGATAACTGTCCGCTTATCCAGAAATAGCGAGCCCAAAAGGGACTTTTGTTGGATGGCAAGAAACTATCTATATGTGAACTTTCAAAACTGGGGCTATCAGGTGATATTGCACCAGTCCCTTGCAAACTGTTAAATGAAGAACAATTCTCCTTTCCAAAAGCCGATTGAAATGGATGATCTAAAGCTACTGATTCGATTATTTTACAAAGATGGTAGGATGCCTCTGATAAGAACTCAGCTAGATTGGAGTTGTAAGGAGAAGACCCAATGTCGTAATACAACTCAGCGAGAAAAAGACTACACTCAGGAGTCCTATCTTGCCCCCAATTCCTTAGAAGCTTCTCCAACTCAAGGAATTTGACATGCGAATCTTGATACACAAGGCAGCTACTTGCGGCATGTTCCAAAAGCAAATGACCCATATGGTAAGCACCATAATTTTTTGAAGTTTCTCTTACAAAATTAGCAACATCTTGACATTCCATATCGAAGGAATTAGCTTGATCAGCACAGGAGACAGAACAATTATCAATATCATCAGAATCTTTGCCTTCTGGTTTACTGATGACAAAAGGTTCAAGTAATTGAAGCACGATCTTGCCCAAATCCTTACCAGCAGTAAAACCTAATTCTTCTTTGTCAGGTTTACGACTCCTAAGACTTTCAAGACGAGTACTACGCCTCTCCTGTGGTTGTTCTTCTGAAAAAGTTGATTCTTTTTCTTTCAAGTTACTAGCCCTTTGAGAGTCAGAATCACCAGGAGGCATGCTTTCACCACTTGAAGCTAATGTAGGCTCTTCATTTTCCACAGGCTCCATCACAATCTCGGCACTAGGAGGGAACAGTATGCTTAACCTAACATCCCCAGATCTATATGATTTTCCAGTCCCGACCTCAGAGCCATAACCATTGAGAGGAAGTAAAATTCCCAGGAGTCCATCAATGAGAGCTGCCCAGGAAGCTTCCGCAATTTGCAGTTCTACGTTCTGGTTCAACTTTTTAAGTGCAGTATCTTCATCTAGATTCTCATCAGGTGCTTTCCTCTTGTCATGGAATTTAAGACGAACATGTTTAGGTTCCAACTTATCTATACCTCTAGGAGCAAAAGGAGCTGATTCTGACTCTTCAATAGTATTTTTAACATGCAAGGCTCGTGAATGCGATGGCCAATGCCTTAAAATCAACTCTGCAACAGAAAGGCATGAAACTTCATCACCAATGGCAATGAGAACTTCCAACAATTTCTCCATGCAATTCCCTGCCACATGTAGGCATCATGTAAATAGGGAACACAAAGCACAAAAAGAGAAGTGGGCATGGGAAACAACTGAAGCAGATATATGCTCACAATTATTAGGACTGCACAAAAGTCCCTGCTCAAAAGCCCAACGTGAAATACTCAATGAACCCATTGAGCACGATAGAGTTCCCAGCTGGTTCCAGACAACCGAATCTTTGTTATCAATCTCTACAGCTTGAAGATAACAACGCAAAGCACTCTCATAATGAATTGAACCTTGTTGAAGAAAAACAGTGGCAAGGTTCTTCAATGCCAAAAATCTGCACAGAACTAGATGAAATACATTAACATATATGCTTACAAGATTTAGATGTTATAATCATACACATTTATATCTTACAATTAGCAGATAAATCAAAATCATAGAAAACTCATTTAATCACAACAGAGCATAGATGAATTTACTGGCACATTTATGAAATGGAACCTTAATAGAAATCCATACGGAAGACACAATTCATATAAAACTACAAGCCGATGAATTTAAGCGCTTTAGCTTCACATACTAAGATATAATACAATGAAAGTGGCCACCCATTAGCAGAGTCAAAAATCAAAACTATGCATTAGAAGTGAGATATAGACAACAAGATGGATCTTAACTTGAGTTGTAACAGATGACCGTCTGTAGTATTGTTATCCACCTGAAAAAAAGAAGGGAAAATTACTTCTGAGGGAAAAAAATATTAAAGCAACTGAACTGTTCTTCATGGGACAAACAATTACATGAGCGTTTGAAATAAGAGGATCTTTCAAAACGGACTCTAACAGATCTCGAGCCTTTCCGTAGTCTTTAGCTTGCAACTTGAGAAGCCCATCATGGTAAGCTTGTGTAAGATGGAATTCCTGAAAAACCATTAAAGTAATGAATTTTATTCTTTGATAAAACAAAAAACAAAAACCCAAATTTCATTCTTTAGGGAGGAAAAGCCTCAAATTGTTCAACCAACTTAAAGAAAATTCATATAATCACAACAGCAAAGCAACTTCTTCCTTTTTACCTTAGCGATGTCAATTTGAGATTGACACGATGAACATAAATAAGATTAAAAAAAGAGAGAACAGTGAAAAAAAGAAAATCTATTTGAAACAAACGAGACACTCAATGTAATGCTTGTTCAAAAGAAATAGAAGAGGCATGCCTGGGCTTCTTTAGTAGGAGCTAAGGGTTCCCATTGGCCTTTGGAATCTGTGTCGTTAATAGCTGCGATTGAGAACTGAAACACACACACAACAAATGAAAATTATAAAACAAAAAACGAAAATTTCACTCCTCTCGAAAACAAGAAAAGAACAGATAAAAGAAGCAAACGATTATCGTACCATCTTTAAGCTCCTCGTACGAGAGCTGCCTCGAGTAGTTGCAGTTCTGGGTTTCTTGCTTGCTTCAGATTTAGGCGGGCTCCATTGTTAGTTTCTTAATATCCTAATTTGTTTTTCCGGGACTTTTAGGGTGTAAGATTTTCACTTTCTCCTTGGCAATTAAAAGATGAGGACACTTTATCTATGATTTTACCCAAATATGCGTTTTCTTAAAGCTACTTAACATTTATATATAAATATTTACGTTTTTTTAACCAAATAATCCATATGAGATCGGGAAAAAAGAGAATGAAGTCATTAGAGAAAAATTTACAATTTAGAATAATTATTGCAATAGACGATGAATTTATCGTTCTAGAATGATCGTTTTTAATAAAAATATTAAGATAATTCATCCTTACAGCATGATAAGTTCTAACGAAAATTAAAAAAAAAATCTTTTTAAAATAATAATTTTTTAAACAAAATTTTCTACTAAAACTCATCATGGTTAAATAACAAGTTTAATTTTCATTATAACAATCGCTCTATATTATAAAAAATATTCTCTCGTTTTACGTTTTCATTATTTGTTTTCTTGAATGCATCATTCCTCTAAAAATTCAATTATTATCGAAATAATATTTATGTCTAATTATTTACTTATAATTATTGAAATAATATTTATGTCTAATTCTGATCAAAATAAATGTTATTTTGATATTTATTTTTTTAAAACAGTATATTTGAAAGAAAAAAAAAACCGGACCACCGAAACGGTGACATTAAAAGAAGCCCAAAAGCCAGATCAATACGACTTCCTCCGAAATATCAAAAATAATTTTTCCCCACTGCGGTGACGGAAAACAGAGAGATTCAAACTGAGACCGATCAGAGCGTCAGATTCCGGTAAGCACTGTGAAACTTATAGATTTCTTATAGAAAATTGCACGTTTAATATTGGGTTTTGGGAGTTCTTTCAATTCGGTTGGAATGGAAAATCAAAGCATGCTCTTTTAATTAACCCATTTTGACGTATACTTGGTGGTCATGGATAAAAGTTTAAAGCTTTTGATTCATCACGTAAATTCAAGTATAGTTTTTCAATTTTATATTCTTACCTTATCTAAGGATTATGTTATTGTAGTGCGCCGGATTCAAGAGATTGCGGAAGCGAACTTTCATCTTATGAACAATGCTTCATTCAAATGAATTCAGTTTGTTCATCCTAATCTATATTTTGATCTTCATTGTTAGCAGCTCAATCTTCAGTCATGGAAAAATGTAAGTAACCTCAAAGAAAACGATGGAATTTTTTTTTCATTTTCTTCTCGATTTCCCCATTGTAAGAATGTCGATGTTTCCCCCTTTTTTTGCAGGCTAGACGGCGGCTTTTTGAACGTCGGGGATGAGCTAAAGGCGGAAACTCTACCGCTTAAAATGGGTTCTCGAGCCTATAAACTTCAAGGGCTAAAATCATTAACTTGGTACGAAGTGAAGATCTCGTATCCAGCTTCTGTATGTAATTTTCTTTACAGTGATTTTGCCTTTTTGAGACATTTCATTTCAAAAGAAAATGATCTTTGCTTTGGTTATTGAAAGATTCCGGCTAGTTTTTCTTTGCAATTGAAGAAAGGCGATTCGGATTCTGGGTTAATCAGGAACAGAAGATTGTTGAATACAGAGAAGTTGATATTCAAGACTGATGATCTGGACACCATTAATGACCAGGTTTTGGTTTCTGCTGATGAAATCTTCTGATGCATTTTTAGCCTACCTTGTTTGAAAATTTTGATTCGATTCAGATTGATGAATTAAATTTTCAAATTTCAAATTATATAATTTGAGTTATTCGAATTTTGGGTTAACTTGAATATATAGTTAGAATTAGATAGTTTAGCTTAGATTTCAAATTGTGCACCTCAGTTATTCGAATAACTCAAATAATTCAAGTCCATGATCAGAAGGTCATCCATGATCCGGTTGAACTGGCCAGAGGACTTGTAGATGCAGATTTTGAGTAATTGCACTTGACTAGAGTGAAACTTATGTTTCAAGTTACGAAAAATTATGATTCTGTAATAACACTTTACTAGAGTGAAACTTACGTTTCAAGTTACGAATAATTTATGTTAACTCAATTAGATTTATTCGACTTGAATTTCTTTTCATTTGACTTGATTTCATGAAATCTCAAATCACACTTGATTTGTAAATGCAACTAATTCGATTTTTTTTGTTAGACTTGATTCAATTGAATATTCACCTTCTCTATATATAGTATTGCTAAAGAAGCTCGTTTTGCTCAGAGTGGACTGTACGTTTTGGTGACTGTGGAGCCTGAGGGGTTTGTTGCGATACCCAACTCGAAGGAAAGAGAGTTCATCATCTTCAATATAGGTAAACCAACTTTTTTCCTGCTCTTCCTTTAATGTAATGGCATACCTTGCTAGTTACATTGCTAGATATGTCAATATCATATGCTGCTTCGGTTATACACCTAGCATATAAAAGGGCTGCACACCGCTGGAAAATACCATGCACTGAAATATCACACACCTAGAGGCTAGAACACGTTGCAATTTATTCTATTCTCAACGGATACCGATGTGCATGGCAACTTTTTCATGCCGTTATTAAAAAAGTCATCTGCATCATCAAATGAAATCTCTTCTGATCTTCGCTTGATCGACCATCTCGTTTGTTTTCCATCACTTCTAATCCTCATTTATGTACCCCCTACGATCCATCGTGCTCATGTGAACCAGTTTCATATTCAGAAGCACCGGCTTTATCGTTCGGTATGCTAATAGACTTTCTTTCCTTTTACTTTTCAGTTTGTGATGAACTGTTGTTGGGCATCCCTTACCAAGCTTGGTGGGTCGTAGTCTTTGTCGTCTTGTGTTTGGTATTGGCATTGATTATTCCTAGATATCTTCCATCGTACCTGCTTTGTGATCGGAATGTCGCCAAGCAATCTTGAGACATTGTCGTTTAAGATAATGATTGTACCATCGTCACCATTTTCTCACAGTGCAAGCATTTGTTAATTGCCATGTAAGGGGAGGCGTTTCTGTTACCAAAGTTTTCAGAGATGTAGCTGAACCAAATTGTGGGAAATGTCAAACATTTGCTATTCTTGAATTACTTCAGAAATCAGAACAATGGGTTAATCAATTTTCTATAAAATAGCATCTCGAAATCCCAATTCGAACACGTCAATGTACATATACACATAAATTTCTAAACCATAAATGATTCATTCAACAGCAGACACTAACCAGCGTTAGTGCTATCTGAATATTTACATGAATGGCTCGTACATGAACTATACGATGCAACTCTCATGGTGTGCTTGGATTGTCTTCGGTCATCGACTTTCCGTCTTTACAGTTTTACCCATTCAACAAGCCATTGACTGCAGGATGTTTCTCTTTATTGGCTTCAGCAATATCTATGGGGTTCAAGATGCTTGGCTGGTTAGTTGAAGAGACCAGCCTTGCCCACATCCTGTCCGTAATGACAACCTTGTTCCGTTTCTCGATGATACGCTATTAGTGGGAAAAAATTTGGTGATGAAAACTATGAGAAGCACATAGTCTCGACAAACAAATTTGTTAAGGAAAGTAATCCAATTCCAAGTAAATCCAAACGAAAACTCGATGAACACAGATTGAGCTAACATTGACCCATGTTCGCAAACAGAGAAGTTATTAAAGGTGCAATAGAACATACGTTAAATGGAATGTAAGCATGTTATTAAAGGTGCAATAGAACATACGTTAAATGGAATGTAAGCATGTATGCCATTGACAGAACCGACGGTGAAGCCTGTATACCCGGCCATTGCTCCATGAACTGCAGCGTGAGCAAGTAGGGTGCAGTAGACATTATCCGAAGCGATGCTAGGAATAGCCCGGATCATGTATGTAGGATCTGCAAGCCAAATTTCTCAAGTAAAAAATTTTTGCACGTTATCTAAAAGGTTGAATTTAACAGTAAAAACGTAAAATGTTAACATATGTATTTTCACTGAGTCGTTTTTCTATATATTCATATAGTCCACCTCTTCCTTTGAGATAGAGTATAACAGAAAGTGTTGGGGTTTGGGTGGAAGGAATGGAGATGAAGCTGATATATAGTGGGGTTTGTATTTGAAAATTGTGTGTTGGCAGCATTCTTGTGAGCTGAGCTGAGAAAGCAATTGTAAACCAGGTGGGATCGTTATCCGAGTTAGATTGCCCACGTCAAGCATTCACTCAACGCCGCTTTTTCCGAGGTTCCGTTCCGTTCTGCTGTGCCAGAAACTAGTGGCGCCCGCATATGGATATTTCGATTGTTTGGTATCTTTATTATCGATCCAGGATTTGGAAATATTTATATATCGAATTATATAATTATAATATATAAGAGATATTGGAAGTGTTTGAATATTATATATCATCTGCAATAAAACGCTATTGTCTTATGATTTCAATTGCGTAATTAGTTTTTGGAAGCAGTCAGCTGGCGGCTGAATGCATTGTCAGGATCCCACATCGTTGAGATACAAATAGACGACGATAGAATCTTGGGCGTAAGTGCAATTTTCTTGTTAACTAATGTTTTAAATAATTGTGTAATGATTACTGAAAGTAAATATTACATTAATTAGCACATTAATAAATATTATAATTTTAATTACCATGTCATTTTTAATAGTTATATTAATTATTATTGTTATTTATATACTAATGTTAAAATAAGATTAATTAAAAATATATCTATAACATATAATTAGTGTATACTTTAATACTATGAATATTGTTATAAAATATATTGATCAATGTTGTAATTATAAATCAACTTTGCTTTTGGTTTCTATAAAAGAGAAACTAATTACCGACATCATCGTCATATAATAAATACGGTAGGTTATAATATCTCGATTATAATATAATGTCGATATTGGAAAACCCTTCTAAGTTTGAGTTTGAGGGTTACAGAATCACTTTAATTTTTTTTTTGATTAAAGGTTATTTGTAGAAGACTTAATTTATCATTTATGTCTTTATCATATTTTTACATCAATTTAACTCTCAAATTATTTAAATGTATTATTTTATATCTTACCAGTAATTTAAAACCTTAAATTGATAATCCTAAATTATAATCTCATAATCTTTAAATCATAAATCTTAAACTTAATCTCTACCTTAAAATTCTCAATTTAGGGTTTTAAGTGAGGACTATGATATAGAATGATACAATTGAGCAACTCCGAAGACTAAATTAATACGAAAAGGGACCAAAAAAAGTTACCATTTTACCGATTTTTAAAAAATAAGAATACAAGTATATCATATACCTTTCTGCCTAACATTTATTAATGGTATAATTAATTTTAACACTAATTTAATTATGTAGTGAACTCATTCATTTTATGATCAATTTTACCTAACCCTTAGATATGGTATAATTAATTTCAACGCTAATTTAATTATGTAATGAACTCATTCATTTTATTATCAATTAAACGACGAGCGCATAATGACAATGACTAAATTAAAATAATTTTAAAAATTTAATGACTTAATAACAATTTTTTTTTGTAGTGACTAAATTAGTAGCACTCTTAAAGTTGGGTGATCACCTGGTTACTTTTCCTTCCTGAGTTTTCTATTTCTTTATCCATACCTAATCACATATACAATGGGCATTTGACTAGTATTCAACCTAATTTGATATGATTGATTTTTTTTAAAAGTTCGTATTTAAGTCAAATCGAATTTTTTAGATAATAAAGTTAAATTATATCAAATTTGAGTTTAAAATAAAAAAAATAAATTATAAATTTAATCACTAACTTTATTATCTTTTTTTATTTTTCTCACTGAATTTTAAATGTTTTCAATTTTTTACTGAACTTAATATATTGAGTTTTTTGTCACTCCGCTACTAAATAGTTAACGACGTTAAAATAACGTAGCTTTTAAAAAAATAAAATTTTCACTAAAACAACGTCGTTTTGTATCTATATAACAACCTATTTATAAAGCCATCAGTGAGAAAACGACTCAAACAAAAAAATTAAATTTATTAAGTTTAATGAGAAAATTAAAAAGATTTAAAGTACACAGAGTGAAACATGAGATAAAGTAAAGTTTAGTTATTAAATTTGTAATTTACCATGATATGATTCTATGATAATAATATAATTAATTTTTATGTATTTAACTACAATTGTTATAATATCCCACTATCAATATTTTCTAATTATATTTTATGTTATTTAATAAAATAAAAATTAAACACATATACATCTTGGGTCAGTAAGTTCAGGTTTAATATAAAGTTTTATCTTAAAAATAATGTCAGGTGAAATTTCTTTAAATTTAAATTTAGATAATTTTTTTTAAATATTATATTAATGGGTGAAATTTCTGATTCACTCGACCCAAAAGTGTCCCGGCTGCTAAGATTTTTAAAAGGTCAATGGTGGAAAGAAGGCAATCAAAGCACGGTTCTCTCCCTTTGACCTTATTTAAAACTGTCTCGGATCATCTTCTTCGATCAAAGCTTTGATACTGGATTTCTGAAAACACTCTTTTGTCGGTTGAAACTGCTGAGCTAGAAAAATGGGAATTCCGTCGGAAATGAGGGATATTTGGATCCAGAGAAGAACAGATTCCTTCCTAATTCCTTCTCCCGCTGAAGACGAGAAGAAATCGAGGGCCGAGCAGTACTCTCAAGGTTTTGTTCTTAATCTTTCATTTTTTTAATTTTTCACCTGGAGAAATCGTACGAGATTAACAGAAAGGGAGAAATTAAGATACATTGAATTTGAAATTTCTTGTTAAGTTTAATCTGGTTTATCTTACTGATCAAAGCTGGCTTCCCATATAATTAGGTTTCAATTCCACTTTTCCCTGTTGCAATTCCATTTTTTATGTTCAAATTGAGAAGGTTTAATCATGCCTGTAATCCTGTATTCTTCAATGTTTGAGATTTAGTTCCCTGCTTTTGTTTCCTGTTGATAACTCTGTAATTCACAACATATAGTTAAATTTAATGCAATATGATTTGGACTTTGATTTCTAAAGGCTTAATGATTTTTTATTTGATTTCTAAAGGCTTAATGTTATAATTGTTAATATATGATTTGAACTGCAGAGGGAATTCGTGCCGGTATCAAGGCTGCGGCCATTGCCGCCGTTGTTAGCGCTGTGCCTACAGTACGTTAGCCTTGCTCTCTTGTGGCTTTTTCTTTTATACCTTGTCATGGTTCCTTCCTAAGTTTTCATTTTAGAAGTATCGTGTTTTCCTCCAAAATATAGAAGTACTTTAATGTTTCTCTCTGGTTTATGCTTTTGATTTTCCTGCAACTCTATACCATTGAATGAAATTGCGTGCTGAGATAACTGCTACGTTGCGCGGTCGGTCGAACCTCCAACATCCAGGTATTATACTCCCAGGATGGCGCCGTTGTAGAATGCCTGGGATTTTGTCTTCCTGCCCTTTAATGGGTATGGAGAAGGGCGTAGGGCGCTCTGGATGTCAAGACGCCACACAATGACCCGTTTAAGGACTTGGCAATGACGGGACTGAATTGCAGAGTTGACGAACCTTGGAGTACCATTTGGTGGAGCATGCCGAAATGAGAGAGTAATACGGTGCTGATGGGGATCAAGCTCACGACAATCTCTTAGTGGTACCATGGTTTATATCCTCCAAGCTTTGTCGACTCTTCAATATAGTCTCCGCCTTCCCTACATCCTTTATTGGGTTATCATGTGGCATCTGAGCGACAAGTGTCTCATCCCTACACCATCTTCGGATCATGTGCTCCCTGGTACCCACTACAGGACAGGGAGACAAAATCTCAGGCATTTTATGCAGTGCCGTCCCGATAATACAATACCTTATTGTTAGGGGTTCTGACCACGCAATCGGAAAGATCCACCAACAGAATATGATCCTTCAAATCCCATATCTAAGTAACATAGGTTATAGGTTATATGGTGTTCCAAATGGTAATGGAACTAAAACTTAATTAATTGATTGTCTGCACAAGTGGTAGAGTATAGTTTATCACAATGGGGTTATCGAAAAACCTATATATATTCTTACTGTTTCATGATGTACATTGCTGAAGCTCTTTTTCTGCTCAGTTCTTTCCCATGCATGAATAATTTAATAATCAACCTCTAATCAATATGCGGAATCATGCCATTGCCGACCCTCTGTTCTGTTTTCAGTTGACCGCAGTTCGTAAAGTTCCTTGGGCGAAGGCGAACCTCAACCATACTGCTCAAGCTCTTATCATAAGTGGAGGTATGTTTGAAATCTACTATACTCTCAAGGTTTATCAGTCTTAACTTGTGAAATGTATGATTTCTATATATTAATCGGCTAATCTGGTTATGAGAATGGCGACTGCTTTTATAGTTTTATCCAATGATATGGCTCATCTGTATTGGTTAAACAGCATCGATAGCTGCATACTTCATTACTGTCGATAAAACCGTGTTGGAGAGTGCTAGGAGGAATTCTCGAGCTCAGTTTGACAACAAAACTGCTTGAATGCCAGACCCGAAGGTAATGCAGAAGGTTCCAAGGGCAACTTTAGCATATGTTCAAGCTTTTGGTTTATGAGTTTTATGTTCAAATGTCATATTTCTCATCTCGAATTTAAATGATTTACGGTTTTTCGGTTCGATTATACATTGTTTTGTTGAATGTGTTTTTGTGGAGATTATAGGTGATGAAATGTATTAACTAAGCAACCGTCTTATCTAGTCTTCGAATGAACTTCTTGTCGCGGCGACGACTAAAGGGCTAAAAATTAGTTGTGTTGCCATCGAGCACATTTACACGAACTCCTTTGCAACGATAACTCTTGCGGTTTTCACGACCAATAATTCTTGTTGGGATAATGGTTTGGGAAAAAGAATGGCTCGAATGTTATTAAAGAAATTATAGGGTGAATGTTATTATATCGATAAAAAGTTGTTCAAATCACTCGACTTCTTTTGAGAAAACGTATGGAAGACATGATACTTTTGAAAAGACATGACGTTTTCCTCAGGTTACATACATCGAAGATTTTGATAACTAAGAACTGTGCAGTCCAGATTCAAACACTTTTTAATGACTATTATAGCGAACATCATAATTAAAGAAATTATACCCTCGATAAGACTAAATTTATTTTTTGACTACATTATCCAAGTAATTTTGGCCTCTATTATTATTGGCCAAGATTTGGTATCTTTTAATAAGCTTTTTTTCAAGCCAGACGTATATAGACAATCATAGGAATAAATATATATATATAATTAACCAAAAACAGTATTTTTATAGAATCTAAATATTTTTTTAAATATTATATAATTAATCAAAATCTATATTTATTGAATATTAAAATACATATTTACACATGCAACACCCGTACTGAAAAAACTAATTTTTAAAAATAATAAGAATACCACATTTATGATGTTCTCCCTAATTAGTATAACAAGAGAAGAATCCTCTTGCTTAAAGTAATGAGACATGACAGATGAGTGACATGATAGAATCTAACAATTAATGAATGATTAATGAAAAAGAAAGTAATAATTTAATACATAATTTTAATGATTAAGGACAGACAACCACAACCACCCTCGCCAATAATTTAATTTTTTTGTTTTGTAATAATTCAAGGAATGATTTCGATGATATATAATATGAGTTTCGGCAGTTTTGCTTGTAAAGTATTTTTTTAGTTTTATAAACAATCGGATTTGATTAGTGTTTTGTAAAAAAAAGGAGATCGAATCGGATTTGGTTTGAGTTTATAATACAAAATCTATGGCCTAATCTGACTTAAATGATAATATAATTATTTTTTATATATTTAAAGATAATTATTAAAATGCTCCTCTTTTTATTTTATTTTTCAATTATGTTCCTATTTTATCAAATAAAAATAAGATTTTTTTTATATTAGTATCGAATTAGATCATATACAAATTTTATCTCAAAATTCAGGTCGAGTTTCGACTCGGATGAGACCTTTATAAGCTCGAGTCAGGTGGAGGGGTATGTTTCTTGGGTTAGGTTGAGTTGGATTGACTGAAAATTCGATCTAATCTGATTGTTGCCATTATTACATGTCAACATGTAATTGTTTTGAGTTTTGGGTTTTCAGGTCAAGTTTTGACTCGAATGAGATCTCTATAAACTTAAGTTAGGTCGAGTTCTAGTGGAGGGATATGTTTATAAGGTTAAGTCGAGTTGGATTAATTGAAAACTCAATCCAACCTGACCCAATGCAATCACTACATGTTAATGTGTAATTGTTTGGATAAACTACGCCGATAATCATTAATTTATTACGTATTTTTTATCATTGAACTAATTTTTTAACAAAAACAAGGAAAAATAATAAATTAGTGACTATAGATATAATTTATCCATTTTTTATTCGGATCCGATCCATAACTTAAAATAATCAAAATAAATATCGTAAATCTGGACCTAATTATTTTTAGTCAGCCATCAAATACAAAAAAAACCATCCTTCAAATGAAAAAAAAATCACACCAAACGCTCCTTTTGGCCATCGCAACGGCGAAACCTCCTCTCTTTTCCTTCGATCTCTAGATCTTTCCTCGCCGTCTCGCCCTTTTGTTTGCACTGTTCTTCAAATTTCGTGTTTAGATCCGTTTTTCTCTTCCTTGAAATTCCGTGTTTGACCTTTCTTCGTTGATTCCACCGAGCAGATTCCGTACCTTTGAAGAAATTAGGGTTCCGGTATATTTTATGTTTTCGATTTTGCTTCAGATTTAAGTTATAATCTGAATTTAATTGCTTTATGAGTTGCGGTATCGGTTCGATCTTCATCGTGTGTGATTGATTTGTATCGGATACGGTGTTAAATCCAATCTTGCGTGTTTTTTCGGGTTTGGTTTAGCGCAGAAACCGATGGAGACTCAGAGCCCTAACGGATCTTTGCCGCAACCATCACCGCCTCTGAAGAATTATGGGATTACGAAACCTATATCCCTCGCCGGGCCGACAGAGGCGGATAATCAGCGGAATGCGGAATTGGAGAAGGCAATATTAGTCTGTTTTGAGGATTGTTTGTATATATTTAATTCCATTTAATTCACTTTCTTTTTGTTTATTTATGTAGTTTCTGATAGAGTCGGGGCTTTACGAGAGCAAAGAGGAAGCTGCGAAAAGAGAGGAGGTTCTTGGCCATATCTCTGAGGTAATTAGAAAATCATTGTATTGTTTTGCTTGATGTCTTTTCATTTACAGATATGAAGAAAATGTGAATGTACTTGCATTTCTATCTAAAATTTGAATTTTATTTACTATTTGCTATACTTTTATGAGAAATTTACTGAAAGAGTAAACTAAGTTTGAATGAGTAATGCACTAAGAAGGCTTTATTATGTTCCTATTTCAATAATATAATAAAGTAAGCACCTAGTTGGCCTGCATATTATGGTAATTGCATGGTGATTTAAAATTTGACTTTAAGTTACTATTGATATAATTTTATAAGAAACTTGCCAAAAAAAAAACTAAATATGGAAGAGTAATGTTGTCAGAAGGCTTTAGTATGTTCCTATGTTGTAAAAGAATAAACTACTTTTTTGGTGCGGTTTTGAGAAAGTGACTTGTTTTCCTTATAGATTGCAAAAAGTTGGGTAAAGCAATTAACTCGTCGAAGAGGCTACCCTGATCAGATGGTGGAGGAAGCAAACGCAGTCATTGTCACTTTTGGGTCATACCGTTTAGGGGTAAGCAGAAATTCCTAATTCCTTTATCATAACTGTTATTTGATAAACTTTTGTTCTAATCTTACTGACATTTCTTTGCAATCATAGAAAATTGGTTTGAAATCTTGCATGCTCATTTAGCCTGCTTGATAGGATTTATGAATTTGATCAGAAAAAGGACCAAGGTATATAAAGGTAGGCTTGCAATAGAAAAAATATTATAAGATGCCGTCTGGTAGTTGGATATCATTGAAAATCTATCAATGGTACTTTGATTTCATTGGGCTTTTTATTTTTGGGAAAAATTAGTAACTTCTCTTGGTGGGCTTGTACCAGTTGCCTTTGATGTTCACTCTGTTTTGTTTGTTATTTTCGTTTTTTCTTTTGCGCAAATCACTTAGATCATTTATATTTAGATGATAAGCAAATACTTACTATTTTGATAGGTGCATGGACCTGGGGCTGACATAGACACATTGTGTGTTGGGCCATCTTATGTGAACCGAGAGGTGTCTTTAATCTCACTAATTCTTTTGTTTACCTTGAAATTAGTTGGTGTTCATTTAATTTGAGTTTTATTTTTGTTTAATTTGAATTTCTCCAGGAAGATTTCTTCATCATTTTGCATGATATTTTGGCTGAGATGGAAGAAGTCACTGAACTTCAACCAGTTCCAGATGCTCATGTCCCAGTAATGAAATTTAAGTTCCAAGGGATATCTATTGATCTTCTTTATGCAAGTATATCTCTTTTGGTTGTTCCAGATGTAAGTTTGCAATCCTTTTGGTTCTTTTTTTGGATCAACCTTAGTCAAATCTACTGCATCTCTTATAATCAAGTGAAATACCTTTTTAATAATTAATAACCTATTTTAAGTATGGTCAAATACGGTATTCTTTTGATTAAAACATCTTATTATTATTCTTAACTGATGGTCAAAATCAGTTTTTTTTTTATTTTAAAAAAATCATATTTGGATGATTTTGTTTGTCCAAACTGAATTTGGCCAGGAGTTGGAACTGACCAATGTAGATTTTTCATTATGTGAAATTTGCTAAACAATGTGGTTTCTATGATATGTAAATAAATGTATGACGAAAATGTAAATCCGGTAGTATAATGTCTCTAGTAATGCAGTGCATGCTTAGTTGCTATCTACTTTGATATCTATTTTGTTTTAAACTAATCTACAGGACCTTGACATATCACGTGAATATGTGCTGCATAATGTCGATGAGCAAACTGTTCGAAGTCTTAACGGGTGTAGGGTTGCTGATCAAATCCTTAAACTTGTTCCAAATGTCGAGGTGAATTTTTATATTCTTACCAACACTTTCCCCCCCTAATTTCGCAGTCTTCTAATCTATCACCCAATTGTAGCACTTCCGCATGACGCTTAGATGTTTGAAGTTCTGGGCGAAGAGGCGTGGAGTTTATTCCAATGTAAGTTTGGTATTTGTTTTTTCTTCATTGTCTTCTTTTCTTTAAAATTATGTTCCTAATTTTCTGTTTTTACTTTATAGGTTACCGGATTCTTAGGAGGTGTGAATTGGGCACTTCTTGTTGCACGTGTGTGCCAACTTTATCCCAACGCAGTACCTAGTATGCTGGTATCTCGATTTTTTAGAGTATATACTCAATGGAGGTGGCCAAACCCTGTTATGTTGTGTTCAATTGAAGAGAATGAACTTGGCTTTCCTGTCTGGGATACTCGCAAAAATCCTCGGGACCGTTTCCATCAAATGCCTATAATAACTCCTGCATACCCTTGCATGAATTCCAGTTACAATGTCTCTTCGAGCACTCTTCGTGTTATGATGGAACAGTTCCAATTTGGTAATAGAATATGTGAGGTGAGATAACACATAGCTCTTTTGTTAAGTTCTAGCTGTCCATGTTGAAGTTTGAACTGTTGATGACATATATTGATGACTTTGTCATTTATCTTCTCTTAGGAGATTGAGCTAAACAAAGCTCAAAGGAGTGCTTTGTTTGACCCTCATCTTTTCTTTGAGGCATACAAGAACTATCTACAAGTTGACATAGTTTCTGCAGATGCTGATGATTTGTTGTCATGGAAAGGCTGGGTGGAGTCACGACTTAGACTGCTTACCTTGAAGGTGAAATATTAATTTGTCCATTTGGGGAGTACTCTATTGAGTTTTAAGCTGCTTGCTTTAATTAATCATTAATGTGACTTTGAAGATGCTGTTTCCTTTTCACGCTGCAGATAGAGCGAGACACAAATGGAATGTTGCAATGTCACCCTTACCCAAATGAGTATGTTGATACATCCAAGGAGTTCCCACATTGTGCTTTCTTCATGGGCTTGCAGAGGAAAGAGGGAGTGAGTGGTCTAGAAGGTCAACAATTTGACATTCGTGGAACAGTTGATGAGTTCAGACAAGAGATAAGCATGTACATGTACTGGAAACCAGGAATGGATATTTATGTTTCACATGTTCGTAGGAGGCAGCTCCCTGCCTTTGTTTTCCCTGATGGACATAGGCGGCCTCGATCATTGAGGCATCCAAACCAGCATACTGGAAAGACTTCGGAAGATATCAGAAGGTCCTGCTCAGGCTCTGCGGAAAGACAAATTAAGAGAAAACGTGATGATGAGACAGTAGATGAAAAATTGAACAAGCCTGAGAAGCAAGCCTCAATTAGCCCCCCGAGAATGAAGTCGGTTTCTCCTGATATTATTACAAGCAAGTCTGGTGGAACATCTCATATTCGTGATATTCAAGCAGTTAAAGTAGAGCATCCAAGAACTGGGGATGTTGATACCAAATCTGTTGATAGGCTGTCTTGTGGGCAGTTGGACAACAAAAAAAGAAACGTGGAGATTACAGTTCAGCATGCTAGAACTTCTGATCGAGGGTCCTTCACCGTGAGTGGGCATACTGCTTTAGCCATGGATAATTCATCGGTTGTTAGAAATGTAGAATCAGCTGAGCAGATGAGTGTACCAGTTAGGCAGGTGTTGCTTTCTTCATGTGAAGTTCATGATTCTGAAATAGGGGAAGCATGTGAGGCTGGATTGAATCAAGAGAAAACTGCAGATTTGGCATCAGGTTTTGTCAATGTTCCAGAAATTGAATCTTCTAGGAGAATTTTGAACTGGAAAGAAGTTGGTGTTGAGGTTGATCAAGAGGTGGTCAAAGTGTGTTCTCGGACAGCAGCAGTAGAAATTGCTGAAAGTGTATTTGGGTCAAGTTCCAACATACAGAACCTCAACTGCAAGGTGAGTTTCTTTGTTTTAGGTATTTGTGTTAAAGATTGTAACTGAGGACAGTGAGAATCCTGGAAGTTCTGGAGGTTGTAAGAGTCGGGGATCTTTGCAGGGCAGCGTATGCAGTGCTGATTTGGAATCACTTCTGGAAAATGGACATCTGAATGCAAGTGGCGTTTTCCAAAGCAGCTTGTCTGAGGAATTAAAGGTTTTGAATCCAACTCTTAGACATGAATTACTTGTGCTAGTTTTGTCTTCTACTCTATAGCTGGTTCTCTTGCTGTTTTGCTTTTTATAGAGGTTAGCTCCTTTGTTCCTTCTCTTCTATTCTGTATTGTTTGGGTCATTTTGGCTATCAATCCCAGTTTTTATATTTTATTCATTCTCAAGAAACGAGGCTTTGAGCACGAAAAGGGACATGATGTGATATTTAATGGTGCGAGAAGAAAATCTTGGAATCGGATGATATTGAGCATCTTAAATCTTTTTTAAAGGAAACCTCTAAGCAATTTTCGTGTAATCATTGCTATTTTGTCTAGTTTTTTGCCTTCCCTGATCTTTTATAATGTTAATTCTCTGCCAATCTCCTAACTGGTGCATATGTGGTGGCAGGTCCTGCTCCACCATCATACGTGCTATGTTTCCAGTAACTGTGCTTAAGGCCTTGACTCTGTTTTTTGTGTCTAACGCTCAGATACTTGACCCTCTTCTTATTTCTTATATTTTTATCAACTTTTGTGGACCTATTTGCCTAACTAGCTTTTTTTTACCTTGATTTTGTTGAATAGCCTGGTATGTCAGTCGGAAAGGTTGTAAATTCACAAGATGGTGCTAGGTCAGATACTTTGCAGAAGTCAGTGATGAGGCATGTCTTATTTTGGAGTTTTCGTTTTGTTTATGCAAATTATGATCTCTTTATGCTGTTCCGGTTTTTTTTTTCCCATTATTTATAGCAGGTTGAGTTTGAAGTCAACGGCATAATGTGTTGTAGATGACGGGTTTCGGAGAAATCTTTGTTACCAAAGGAGGATATGGCCAGTGCACCTCGGTAAGTGTCACATTATTAGCTGGGCTTCCATTGTGGTTTTACAGGTATAATACCGAGTGTGACTGGACTAGCAAAAGCATATTTGGCCGTGCAGTGGCGGAGAGCTGCTTTGTTCAGCTTATAGTTTTAGGTTGTGGCGTTTGGTTGTTAGGCTTAGGAGGGAGCCAAGAAGCTTTACTAGAGTGGTGGTTCTTTGAAGACTTTGCAATCTATTTTTTGTTTTTCGTTTTGCTGCTAGAGTGTCTTCGATGCTCGTCTCCATTCGAGAACGAACAACTCTTCCAACAAGAAATTGTAAATCAAACTGGAGTGTGCTGTATCATTTGGATTTTGTTTTTGTTTTTTTAATCTAATGTAATCTTTTACGTGCACTTTATGGTGCAGTTCATATGTGCTTTCTAGTCATCATCTCTCTATATATACATCTCTCTTAGGAACGCCCGTATTTGGAATGCCCTCTGTTGGGTACTGGATGCATTTCGTGAGTTTTTCAAATTAGATATCAAGTAATTCGTTTTGGCTTATTAAGAATTCCAGTATTGATCAAACTTTGATCGGATCAAACTTGAACAGGTTGTCATCTATCTCATTTAATTTAGAACTCTAATAACCCATAATCAAATACCTTCATACCGCTACCTGACCATTGCCAATTTATATTTGTTTTCTAAGATTTTTTTAATGAGGTGTTGACATGTGATTTAATATGTATTAAATATGAAATGTTTTAATGTTACAAATAAAGAAACCATGCTAACTCGTATCCATGATTTTCTAGAACTTCTTTGATACATGTTCGGTTAGCCTATAACAGTCCATGTACATTTAGCAGAAGGAGATCTCATGGTCTGCTAATGTATATCACACGTTGTAAACTTTGTTGTCACCTTCGTCGTATCTGTAGCTCGAAAAGTAAGTGGCGCCGGCACCACCAAGAAGTGGCATGACATCAAATTCGCTTCCCACTTTCTTGGCTTCCTGACCATCCTCCGAACACCAGCTTTGGAGAACATGCAAAACTTCCCTCATTGAAGGCCTTGTGGAAGGTGATGGACGTGTACAAACAACCCCTACTTTGCATACCATTATCATTTCCTCCAAGCAAGACGATTCTTTCACTTCTGGATCGAGTATTTCGATGATGGATTGATCGTTTAACGAGTGTTGACGTGCCCATTCCACTAGGCCCATGTTCTCGTTTGCACTGTTCGCTTCTCTTCCGGTCACCAATTCGAGGAGCACAACTCCGAAGCTATAGACATCAACTTTCGTATCAACTTTTGTCGTATAGGCATACTCTGTTACACAAATGACAGTTTATTGTTAAAAGGGATGTTCTAATTTTTCAATAGGGTTGAAGCATTTGATTTACCTGGGGCAAGGTAACCAAAAGATCCTGCAACTGTGGACATTGTGTGAGAACTTGCATGCCTGGCTAGTATTTTTGCGAGTCCAAAATCCGCAATCTGGGCCTTGAATTCGATGTCCAACAAAATGTTGCTCGACTTCACGTCGCGGTGGATGATCGGTGTCGGACATTCATGGTGCATGTAACACAGTCCTTGTGCAGCTCCGACAGCGATTTTCAACCTCTTCGGCCAATCCAGAACAGCAAGATGACTCGAAAACGACCCTTTGTTCCTATGAAGCCATTTATCAAGGCTCTGATTCTCCATATACTCGTACACCAAAAGCTTCGAATCCTCACTCGAAATACAACACAATAGCTTCACTATGTTGCGATGGCGAATGCTTCCCAGTACTTCGACTTCCGCCGAAAACTCTTGCTCAAGCTTGTGATCTAGTTTCTTATGATTCCCAATTTTCTTCACCGCAACTGATTCACCCGAACGGTCGATCTCAATCCGATAAACTTTCCCCGAGCCTCCAAATCCGACTAGATTATCGTCTACCAAATTCGACAATATGTTCCATTCACTGAAATTCAATCTCTGGAACGAGGTCAACTTCCATGTCTCTAAGGACTGTGAACTCTTTTTCCTCTTATAGTCTCTAACAATGAAGAAAATCATTACAAACACAACGAAGGAAACAACAACTGCAAGTGATACAATCACTGTGACATATCGATGTGTCGATTTCTTCGGCCGATCGTGCTTCAAGATTGAATTGCAGTCTCGAAGCTTTAATTTCGGATCATCGGCGCAGAGATCGGTATTGTGCAAGAAGCTGTTTTCATATGCAAGATTATCAAGCTGTTCTGGGATTTTCCCAGAAAGTTGATTTGATGATAAATTGAGTGAAGTTGGCCTCAAATTGCCGATCCCAGAAGGAATTTCTCCAGTGAATCGGTTTTCGGATAAATCCAAGTTGATCAGATCGGGTAAAGATCCGATTGCAGCTGGGATTTGACCCGATAGCTTGTTCCTGGAGACATTCAATGTGTTCAATGATTCCCACGAGATGATTTCCGATGGAAGTTCGCCGGATAATTCATTGCCGTCGAGAAGTAAAGTGATCAGTTTAGAAAGATTTGTTATCTCCTTCGTGATTTCGCCGTTGAACAAATTGTTACTGGCTTTAAAGACGACCAAATTCAACCACGAAGAGATTCCGGCGGGGATTTCGCCGGAGAATTTGTTGTCACTGATTTCGACCCTCGACAAGTTCCATGCAACTCGGCTCGGTAATTCGCCGGAAAACGAGTTGTTGCTTAACATCAAAGTCGACAAATTGAAGCTTCTCCATAAACCCGAAGGAATCTCGCCGGAAAACTTGTTGTTCTGAAGTTGAAAAGTGCGTAAACTCCGACAATCCCCGAGCGATCTCGGAATTTCACCTTCGAGATTGTTTGTATGAGCGACCAGTCCTTGTAAAACACCGCCGGCGCATAAATTTCCCGGCAAATCGCCGCTGAATTGATTCTCCGACACCTCGAACGCTTCAAGCTTCGAATGAAACCCGAACTCCGGCGGTAAAACTCCGGTCAACTTGTTCTGAAAAACCTTGAAATCTTTCAGCGCAGGCAATGAACCGATCGCCGCTGGCAACTCTCCGGTCAACTGATTCGAAAACAAGTTGAGAAAACGCAAAGACTGTAACTTCCCGAAGACTTCTGGAATTGTACCGGTCAAATTGTTCTGGGAAAGATCAACTTCAACCAAATTCAAAGCATCAACAGCTTTGGGTATTTCATTTGAAAGATGATTTTTGAAGAGATAAACAATAGTTAAATTCTCCCATGAAAATAAACCACTTGGAACCCGACCTTCCAAATTGTTTATAGACAAATCAAAATACTGTAAACTCGAAAGATTATTGAAACTTTCCGGAATTTCTCCGATCAAATTGGTTTCCTTCATCCATAAATACGTCAGTTTCTTCAAAAACCCAAACTCTCGAGGAATTTCCATGGGAATGAAAGGATTGTACGCCATACCCAGTTCTTCAAGATTCGACAAATTACCAATTTCCTTAGGAAATGTGCCATTGAAGAGGTTTTGAAGCATATATAGCCTTTGCAATACTGGGAATTTCCCGATACTAATTGGGATATTCCCGGAAAAATTATTGCCGCTAATATCAAGAGAAATCAAAGACGATAATCGGTCAATATCAGAAGGAATTTGACCGACGAAATAGTTTTGAGAAAGGTCCAAGACTTGAAGCTTTGAACAATTGTAAAGCATTATCGGAAATTCCCCAGGGATGAAGTTCCAGGCGAGGTCAAGGAAAGTGAGGTTTTTGAGGTCACAAATCGACGGCGGGATCTTTTCCGTGATGTCTTTTTCACGGAGGTGAAGCTCGGTTACTGAACCGGCAGTGCAGTAGATCTCCGGCCAAACGCACGGAGAGGATGATGAGTTCCACGAAGAAATGGACGGTGGATTGCCCAGTTGTTGTTTAAGGTTGAGAAGAATGGCTCGTTCATCGTTTATGGCTTGTGAATGAATCACGGTGATGGGTATGGAGATGAAGAGGAAGAAGAAGAAGAGAGATGTTAACTGGGTTTTAGCCATTGGGGTTTTTTTTTTTTGGTTCCGGTTTGCATCTCTTTTCCCGGAAAAAATGGTTTGGTTTTCTGAATTTTTATTTGGGAGTTTAGACTCGGTAATGGCGAATGTGGACTGAGTCACTGGTTTTGTTTTGTGAGAGATTTATTTATTTATAAAATTTTATATGTAAAGTTACGTTTCGCCAAGTGCCTGCTACGGCCAATAGATTATTAACGTCCTCATTTTAGTTTTCAGCTCACTTAATATATTAATTGGTCCTTGAACTAATGTAATATTCTCTATTTGAACTTTAATTTTTCCAAAACACTTCAGTACCCGTGCTTTAAAAAACTATCAAATTAATTTGTGTCGACATAACATTTTAACAACTAATTATGTTATTACTATGATATTAGTAGGTCAAAATATTAATAGTAAGAAGTGTCACAAATCACAACATGATGGATTATTGAAATATTATATTAATTATAAATAGTAATTGTTTTTTTATAAAAAAAAATAGATATCAAATTGAGAAAATTTATTATGTTGAAGAGCATATTAATATAGATCGAACTCAGTAGTCTAAGAAAAACAACATTCTTTTTTATCTCTAAAATCATTTAATGGGTTCAATAATTAAAACTCTACTTTAAACTCATTAATTTTATAGTTTAAAAAACATTCTTGAATGTTTAGTTTAGTAATCACTTTAACTCATATATTTGTTCTAGATCACTTTAATTTATTAATATTTGATAATTTACAAAATAATTAATATATTTTCATAAATATAAATATAATTTTCATATTTTATAATTGATGTTATAAATAATATATACGGTTATAATCCGACAAATTTATTGGGATAATGATATAGAAAAAAAATCTCGTATAGTGCATGTGGAATTTTATTTTCTTAATTAGGGCGATGGAATAGTGCCGGAGAAAAATGTCAGACTGTACGGTGTCTTCATGAAGACGTCGGAGTACGTCTTCTTCTTGAAGACGTTGGGACTGTAGGGTGTCTTCTACGATCGTCGAAGATTGGGTTGATATTAAGTCCGAGCAAGGGCACAAGCATAATGTGATGGAGCCTATAAATCTGGTTTTTCAAAGCCAACAGAGAAGAAGCAAAAATGGAGGCTTCAAGGATCCGGATCAGGTCGGATTATGCCGAGCAGCGAGAGACCTTGGAAGACATCTTACAATCCCATCGTCTTCATAAAATCGCCAAGTAATCCAACCAACTCCCTCTTTCACTGTTCATTTCACTTTATATAAAAATAATAATCTTCCATGAGCCATATATGGAGAATTGTTTTTCCTCGTATCATTATTTGGGCAATATTACCTTAATATTTATCTATATTTAGTGTAAAACAATAAAATTGTCCAAATAATGATCTTACGTGAAATTATTATTTTTAAAATTTTATATTTCAATAAAAAAAAGTTTATATTTCATAAATCAAATATTTTACTTTTAGAATTTTTTGTACTTATCATAAATATGAAGTACGTGTATTTAGGGTTTGACATGGAAATTTTCATCCGAAAACTTTGACCCTAGTTTTGTCTTTTGAACAACGTGGACTGTGGTATCCTGTGAAGCCCGCAATTGTAGGTAATGGCAGCTCCGTAAATAAGTTGCAAAAACAGGGTCTTTCTGGGAAACGCATGGTTCCATTAATAATCAACGAAGATGGGCAGCTTGACTTGAGCCGAAGCTTCCATTAGCCATTATATCTTAGCTTCGAGGTAGAAATTTAAAAGGTTTAAATATGGCAATATTGTGAGAATAATCCCCAAACATTTTTTTTAATCAAAATGGCACCCAAAAAACATTATTTACCAAAATGGAATCTCTCTGGCAATAACACGTCATGGGAAGAGTTTTTCAAAAGGCGTACTTTGTAGGACACGCCTGGTAGTTCCTTTAACGTTGCCGTCATCTAAGACTAAAGTAAAAGAAATGAGAATAATGGGCCAAAAACTCAAAATATTGTATAAATATTATCCAAAAAGAAATAAGCATACCATACGAGTTGAAGAAATATTTTTAAAAACTCAAATTCTATGATTAGAAATCATGTTAATATGAAACACCTTTTAATATGATTTCATACTATAATTTTTAATAAAGTACATTAAAGGTCACTGAACTATGTAAAATGATCCTTTTAGTCAGCTACATTTTAAATATTGCAAAAGGGTCATTGAACTTGTCAAATATTACAAAATAATATTAAAATTTATCGAATCATTGCAAAAATAATTTTTAAGTTATCGAATCATTTTACAATTATTTAAAGAAAATAATTATTATTTTATAACATTTAAAATATCAAACTAAAAAGATTATTTTAACATACCGAGCTTAGCCACAGCTTATAGCTTTAGCCTTTGGGATTAAGTCAATGAAAAACTTTCTATATGACTTCAGCCAACGGGTAGAATCGGTTGGTCAAATAAAATAGTCATACCATACATTTCGATTCAAAGAGCCAAAGGCACATTTGGCAATTGAAGAGAAGTTTCGTTTCGCACCCTTTTAGTTGATATCGGGCAAATTCTTTGGGTAGTGTCTGTATCATTTATAAATTGTGAACGTAGTCCATATACTTTAATATGATTAATTTTAATACTATTCAAGATTTTAAATTAAAATCATGATTCAATTAATATAGATACAATATAACTAAATTACATGACGTAAATAATATAGAGATAATATAACTAAATTACATGGCTCGAAGTTATCAAATTACATAGATATAACTAAATCTACATCTAATGTATAATATATACAATAATCATATAATTTAATTTAACATATTTCACAAATATTCTCTGGATCATGATCAGAGATGGGTATTTGACCTGAATCCGCTGAGTTTCGATCCAACTATATAAGGTTAAAATTCTTTTCTTGAATATATAGGTCGAGTTTTTTGAATGATAAGGTCAGATCGAATCAGATTTGAGTTTAGGATAAAAGTACCCTATAATAGTATATTTAACTTTTATATTTTAGCACGAATCAAGTGACCTCAGTGATAAAAGAATTGTTGTTATTCCTTAAGGTCCCGATTTCGAACATCATCAATGTCAAGATGTGAGCATTTAATGTCAAATGGTTGAGAGTTATCTTTGAACATATACTACCTTGTACTTAGCCCAAATTAATGAAAAAAAACTTTTATATATTTATGAATAATTGATATAATACTCTATTTATATTTTTCAATTAGATTCATGTTTTACATTATATATATATTTGTGTTGATCGGGTTGAATAAGAGCTTTTTCTTTAAAAATCAAAACAAATTTTGAGTCAGATAGAGTTTCTCCTCGCTAAACCCTAGTCGAGTTATATAATAAATAGAGGTGTTATATTTAAATCGGTTTTAGATGGATTAAAAATTTGATTTGACTCGACTCATGACAATTCTTAATATGATTCTAATTTCAAAATCTGTAAAGTTAGATTAACTTTTATAAACCAAACTATGAAATTAACAAATTTTGTAAAATCCTTATTGCTATTGGTGACTTTGGAGCATAAAAACTATATATATATATATATATATATATATATATATCTATTTACAACATTTCTTCAAATGAAATTTTCTCCTTTTTAGTAGTTTCAACTTTATAAACATTGAGAATCAATTTTTTTATTGTACCTTTATTTATTTATTTATTATAATTGGATAAAGGAAGTCATAATCATCTTTGCTACATATCTAATAGCATATGGCTGAAAATGGATTTCCTTTTCTTTATTTGATCTCAAAATTTCAAAAGTACACATTAAACAAAGAATGTTTTCCTCTTTGTTGACATTTTGGTGTAAATGACAATTGATTTAACGGGATAAAATGTTAACCTTTTTTAGAGATTGAAAGTTTAAATTATAATGTTTTGAGTAAAGAAAGTAGAATTAAGAGTATTGTCATTATAATATATTTCTATAAGATTTAATACGGGTTAGTCGTCGCTTGATTTCAAAGTAAGTATTTGGAAAATAATAGAGAAAAGTTATTTTTATTCTTTGAACTTAACAATTTTTACCAATTGAGTCCTTAAATTTTGTTTTGATTCATTTTAATTTTAAATCTTTTTTTAGCGCTTTTGAAGATGTAGCACTACCACATGACACACACTTGTCATCAAAAGGTTAAAAAAAGGGCTAAAAGATTACGTATAAAGATTAACATAGACAAAAAACTTCAAGGACTAAATAAAAAGAAATTATCAAGTTGAGGGATTAAAAGTTACTTATCTCAAAATGTATTGAAATGTAGGACTAATGCATTTAACCCATGTAAACATCCATGCCAGGTTAGCTTACCATATTTCCTTAATTTCGGCGGGATGACTTCAAAACATGGAAGTTTCAAAAGAAGATAAAATAATGCGACATTAAAATAAAATCCGATGATTAATAATCAATTAGTTTAATGAAATATAATATAATTTGTTTAAATAAAATTAAATATTCGATTTTTAATGCTGTAAATAAAGTAAATTGAGGTGAAAAACTTGCTCTCACAGCTGCTATGAACCGCTGAATTTCACTTTGGCTGGAAACATGAATACTGAGGATAAAAAAATGGGTATCCGACGTTATTAATTGAATAAATATCTGACCTGTTGTTATCCGTAATTAATATCTACTCTTTTATGAGTTTCTTCCCAGTACGTTATCTCGGGTCCCCTTTGTTGCTAGAAAGCACACGATCTTGATTGATAGTATTGCCCGTAGGCTGCAAAGCTAGGAGTTTAGGGAGTTATCCTATGCTATTGTGCATTAATAGTTTATAATTTTTTGTTCATATTGTAGGGGTGATGTTATGATAAACGTAAAATTTTATGTTAAAATTGTAAATTTATAAAAAAAAATTAAGAGTAAAAATAGATTATTAATAAAAAATATAAAGAAATAATTTGAATTATATGAGAGTTTGATAATATATCACTTAAGTAATTGTTTCTTTTCGGTCTGCTCATGTACAGCCTAATCCGACACGAGATAAAATAGATGTAGAGTAACAAAATCGAAATTCAGAGGTAGGATCTGTAGACAGGATTGTACATGCAGCTTTCC